ACGTTTTTTTTCGTGATTATCACCATAATCCTAGAGAATATTTTTGATTGAACATTAAATTATTTCAATGATTCACTATCTTAGATCAGATGCTAAGAAATAGACTATTCGCTAAGATTACTTAATGACGTCACTTTAATTATCTCGAAACTATCAAACAATAAAACTTTTCAAAATCATCATTTTCGGATCAAATTTTTAGGCGAACGAGACTTAGTATTGTGAATTGGCAAAAAGATGCAACAACTTCGATCTCGATATTTTCGTATCTAGTTAGAATGGATTTTCTATCATTTACGACTCTTTAGATCATCGCGTCACTTTATTAGAACTTTTATGCGTACTCAAGTTAGAAAGAAACAAAAAAAAACTCGCGACGGACTACAGAAATGCTTCTGCTTCGCATCGCATTAAAAACTATTTTGCTCAAAGCCATTGACGGGGATATCGAAATATAATTTTCAACAATGACTCAGATCAATGATGGCCTTTCGCCGCGACTCCTTGTCATTGTGCCCGTGCCTGGTCATTTTCGTACAACACGACTATACATGATTCGAGATGCCACTATAAGGTGGCAGGCCATACAATGCATTAGTGTATTGATTGTATAATAAAGTAACGGAGAAAGAAAACATGACCATCAACGAGAATTAAAAGGGGGAAGACGTCGAAAAATAAGTGGACTAAAATAACTAGTGAAACAATGAAATATATTTTGTCTGATGATGATGATGAACTATAATCGATCAAGTATTGTAAATTACTGTTTAAAAATATTTTCATTCAAACAGCATAATGAAAAATCACATAAATGTATGTGCACAGGAAATAGGAGTAACGATTAGTATTGTCACATCCTGTTCAATTTTGACCACAACACAGAAGAAATCTGGTTACTCGATCGAAATATTCTATTCGAATTGTACAATATTTTTCTACCTTTTGGTCGATATCTGCTTTATGTACATCAGAAGGAAATTTTTTTTTCTATGACTAAAAGAATAATTTAAAAAAAAAAGTAAACTCATCGATACATAGCGACATCTCAATTTTGGACTTCATATATATATTTATTGACCAACAAACCATATATTGAACCACTAATAAAATATATAAATTTTCCTCTTCAATCGAACGAATTTTTTCTCATCTTATCATTTTCCGCTATTTTAGATTTGTGTTCTGCGCATATAATCATCGATATTTGCGCATCGATACAGCTAAGAGATGGTATACTTATTTTAAAATTTTATTTTCTGTTTTAAATATTTCATAATTTCTATTACATTAGTCGAATCTCTATGTACTCTACGAACATGCCTCGGGCTATTCTCTATTCCGTGTCCGTGAATTTGAAGAAATCGGTATGACTATACCGCAAGTGGAAGAAAGCGTAGTTGATTTATCAAAATTTGCTACGGTTGTTAAACTTGTTGGATTTTATCCATTTCAATCTGGTATTAATGCACTCGATAATATCAATGCAATTTCCGAAGGTTGTTTTTTTTCTTTTTATGAATTTGATTAAGAAATAAGAAAGGCTCATGTTTTTCCTCAACAGGTTTGGTTCATGATGATCTCCGAACATTTCTTGACACAAATTTACCAAAAGAAAAGAAACGTGCAAAAATGATTCTTGGTGTTGCTGATCCTCGTATAGCATCGACTATCAATGAACTTTTCTCAATTTCATGTCAACATACCGGTGTTGTACCTGAACTTCTACGAGGTGAAATTTTTAATACAAGAAAAAAGAAATACGTATATATTTCATGTTTGTTTTTGTGATTTAAAGGTTTTCGACTGCATTTTCCGAATTTGGTTAAAGGTCTAACAGATCAAAATCAAAACAAAGCTCAACTTGGTTTAGGTCATGCCTATTCGCGTGCTAAAGTTAAGTTCAATGTTAACCGTGTTGATAATATGATTATTCAGTCGATTGCTCTACTCGATCAACTTGATAAAGATATAAATACATTTGCAATGCGTATTCGGTATGAATAGACCTTTTTAAAGCATTTAGCGTTTTTTTAAACTTTGGCCTGTTGTTTATTTATTTATAGAGAATGGTATGGTTATCATTTTCCAGAATTAATAAGAATTGTCTCAGATAATTATACATACGCACGTGTTGTTTATCTAATGAAAAATCGAAAAGAATTTACAATCGACCGTGAAGAAGAATTAGAAGCTATTACCATGGATAGTGGAAAAACAGGAGCTATTTTTGAAGCCATGAAAACAACAATTGGTTTGTTCGATTCATTTTTTTCGAATATTTGTGACGAATAAATTTGTTTTGCGATTTCAGGTATGGATATTTCACCAATTGATCTTATCAATATCGAATCTTTTGCCAAACGAGTGATTCATTTATTTGAATATCGCAAAGGATTACAAGAGGTAAAATTTTTTATTTGTTTGACTTTCGTTAAATAGTTATGATTTGATTATTTAGTATTTAAGAAGTAAAATGGGACAAGTGGCACCAAATTTAGCGAATCTAATCGGTGAACAGGTAAATATTAGATCTAGGCAATAACAATAGATTGATAAAAGAAATGAAGGCCATGGGTATAAGCGCAATAATAAATTTTGAATATTTCAAAGACATTATAAATCAAAGTCCATGCATAAAATCGGAAAGTGTGTTTTGAAATGTAAACATCACTAGGATTTATCTCAGTTATGTTTTTTAACACGAAAGATAAAAATATTTTTCGAGTGGCGAAGGATTGGCCTTATCTTTTATCATAGAAATTTATGATTCTAATAATTATATCTAGGTCGGCGCTCGTCTTATTGCTCATGCTGGTAGTTTAACAAATTTGGCTAAATATCCAGCATCAACAATTCAAATATTAGGTGCCGAAAAAGCTCTCTTTCGGTAAGTCTGGGCCACATGAAAGAAAAAAAGATAAACAATTTTTTTCCATATTCATAGAGCATTGAAAACCAAAGGTAATACACCAAAATACGGTTTAATCTATCATTCATCACATATTGGCAAAGCAAGTACCGCAAACAAAGGTCGCATATCACGTTATCTTGCTAATAAATGTGCCATTGCATCACGTATTGATTGTTTTTCTGGTTAGTTAATTTTTTTTCAATCAACTATGTACATATCATTTATTCTATTTTTAAAGATATTCCAACTTCCATTTTTGGTGATCGTCTAAAACAACAAGTATCAGACCGCTTGAAATTTTACGACAGTGGAGAATTACCACCGAAAAATGTCGATGTTATGCAACTAGCTTTACAAGAAGCTGAAGTTGAACGTGAAGACATTTTAGCTAAAGAGAAAAAACGCAAGAAAAAAGAAAAAAAACGCCGAAAAGAAGCTGAAGCCGCAGAAGTATCTCTCAACTGCAGTTTCGCCAATGGTACATCTGCACTTACAGAAGCGGTTAACAATATGGAAGTTGCTTAAAATTTTTTTTGGTTGTTATTTCTTTGTTTACTTCCGCTTTGTTATTATTTGTTTCGACAAATAGAAACTTCTTGTTACGAAAAAAAAAAATAATTGTTAAGTACAACTTTGTTGTAGATTTGAAAAAATACATACACAATGACAACAAGAAAACAAACGCCTAATGATTTTCTTAAACAAATTATTGGCCGACCAGTTGTTGTTAAACTTAACAGTGGTATTGGTAAGAATATTTTGTTTTATTGTTCAATAACACTTAGTGCAGAGAGTATTAAAATATAGGTTTGAGTAAGAGATGAAAAGAGGTTTTGTGTTTTGAATTAAATTTTCTTGATTGATAATTAAATGTGAGATGCTATTAAGAAAATCAAAAAATGATGTATGATGTCAGTTACGATTATAGAGAAAAATGATTGATGCGTTTTCTTACGTTTATTTTGATTTTACTTTTTAGCTGATATCTAAATACTCCTACTTATGGTTGGCCTTGCTAGTTGACTATACTTTTCTTTCATACGAGAATTGCAGTGATAATCAAATGAACACAAGAGATAGAATAGCTACATAGGTCGTAACAGCATGACTGTACCATACAATGCGCATGTAAATTTCAGGAATAATCAACTCAAGAAAAAAAAAACACTTCGATTTGTAGTCAGACAAATTTTCATAGACATGAAGTTGTGGACACTTACTTCTTTAAATGAATACGAAAAATCACATCAATAAATAAAAATTTCATAACTATGAAATTCTTGACAATCAAAATCATTTTCTAGCCATAAAGGGCCCACATTTATATTTTACTGTTCACAATTGAAGTTTTAAGCGAACAAAAAAAGTTCATACAACAAATAACTAATTTATTTTGAGAATCGCATCCGACGCTTTTATTTAGAATATATATCTCGAGTCATTTCCTTTTTTGAGCAAATTAAACTTCACACTGATATGCATGAAACATGCCTACGTGTATCTTGTTTTACCGAGCAGCTTATGGTAGACAAGTTTTATGACCTTGTCTCTCATCAAGGATATATCTCAGTCGATACACAATACTCAATAAAAACTTGATCACATAATTACATAGTACGAAATCGATCCAATAAAATTCCTTGCCATCTTTTTCTTTTGAGATTAACATGCAATTGTAGACTTCGTTTAGATTATCGTGGTGTATTGGCATGTCTCGATGGCTATATGAATATTGCATTGGAACAAACAGAAGAATATAATGGTGGCCAACTCAAAAACAAATATGGCGACGCTTTTATTCGTGGCAATAATGTATTATATATATCGACTCAACGAAAGAAATAAAGTACTCTTTTCAAAATGTATAAATAAAAACTCAAAATTTTAAGAACTATGATTAAGAAAACAAAACAGACTGAGAGAACAATAAAAAAGACAAGCACGAATATGATCACTGTTGTATATCTTTTCTTTTTCACTCTTCAAACAATATTGCTTGATGGATTCGCATTCCAGCGAGCGCATGGCAATTGATTTTGTTCGCCCATTCGAACGAATGTATACGAAAATAAACCGAATATTGTAAGTAAAATACCAAAAAATTGCTTATAGTTAAGTGTATCTTGAAATAGAAGAAAACCACCAACAAGAATTGATATTGTTTTTAAATGACCGATCATGTTATACGTCAATGCAGATCTAAATTTTTCAAAAGAAAAATATCAACTCAAATCTCTAACGAAATAGTTCATTCTACATACGTATTTTTAATAACCCAATAAATTGATAGGTTAACAGCAAATGCAATAATACCCGAAGCTACAACAGCCATGAGTGCCGTTCGTTGTTCTTCACTTGTTGCATATGATGGAAAACTTTCCATAACAGCTATAAATGGTACAAGGATTACTGCTGATAATGGTGCTTGATAATAAAGTAATTGTTGAGAATTCATTTCTAAATCTTTTAAACGTGCACCAACCCAAACTTGATAAAGTGATGCAGACATAACACCGATCGTTGCTATGACTGTACCAATTATAGTTAATTTAATATCGTTAACAGAATGTGTACATACGCCGACAACAACTGGTACTAATGTAGCAATAACCATACGAGAATATTCTACTTTATAGTATTGCCATGATATAAGGGCAACTACGGGCGTAGTTAAAACTTTAAATAATTGATATGTTCCTATTGTATTATGTTCTAATGATAAATTTGTGAATACAACAAAGGCACAGAATGAAATTGATAGTGGTAAAACTTTGATTATTGATACGGATTTACGTACGAATGTATTCATTTGTAAACATATAATTAAACCGAATGATGTGAATGCCATTTGTATAGCAGTTAGTGTCATTGTTTTGATTTGGCAATGAGAAAAAATATATTTATTAAGAAATATAATACCAATTGATGATAATATATTGCATCCGCAACCTAATACAACACGAATGTGGTCTTGTATCGCATCTTTTGATGCCATTGATGCACGTTTATTTGATGGTGGATCGATTTTAATCTATAAATAGAAAAATCAATAGAACTAGTTGAATATTTGAAAAATTCAAGAACAATTCTTTATCGAATCTCGTACAAGTGACGCTGTTGATTCATCAGGAATTGAAATTTTATCGTCGATGTTAAGGGGATAACTGTTGTTTGTTGACATTGCATATAAACTGCGAGTAAAATCAAGCTAGCAGCAGTGTGTGTGTGTGTTGAATGTGAAAAATAGATCAATGTTTCAAATCAAACGACATCTACAAACAGTTCATACAAGTAAAATCAAGACAAAACTGTTAGTTTTTTTAATACAGCGAAGGAGTAAACGTGCATGTTAACTGTTGGTTGAGTAGAAGAAAAGCAAAAGAGAATGTTCTTGGTGGTTATGAGCATGCAGAAAGAAAAAGAATGACGAAATATGTCTAAGATAGAAAAAAAAAACGAGCAGAAAAATGCTTCGTTTAGGAAGATTTAAGAAAAATGGAAACAAGTATACATCGGGAAGCACGTTGTTAAAAAAAATAGTTTGCAAGCAATTTTATTTTAATAGCATTACCGAGTCGTCGTTATTTGTTCTCGTGTGTTTATAGAACTTACGTACGTATATCGAACATAAAAATGGCCGTCTAAACAGATCAATTTGCGCAAAGAGAGGGAAGAAAAAAGTCATTTTAGTTGACAGTGTACTTTTCGAAACAACCTATACTCGTGTATACTTATAACCAAGCGAGGAAAAAGAATAGAAAGAAAACAGAGCACAGCATTGCAAAAAAGAACGATTTCGAAGAATAGAAAAAAGAACGATTTCTTCGCGACTCTGCTGTTGGGGTTCAGTGACTACATGAAAAAGAAAAGGAAAAAGGGAAAAAGCGTTTGTCAGGGATACAAGATGCAGTCATGCAGTTACTTTAAGCCTAAGTTCAGTTCACAAGAAAATGTAAATTATAAGTACGCTTATTCAATTTAGAACCAACTAGTCGATACAAGCGAAATAGAATTATGAATTTATTCTACTGGTTTGAAAAAATCTAATATCTTATAAGAGCTCACGAGCAACAAATATTTATTTATTAGGCGAGCCATAGTGATCGTTGACACGAGCAAAACTTTAATTAGAAACGTGATTCATACAGGTCTAACATGTATACTATAGATAGTGCTTCTTCATTACAATCGATCAGAATTCTTTATATTCCTCCATATTATGAAAATCATCTTGAATTAGCATTTGATAGATTAAGAACCGATAATAAAAATGTCAGTTATCAAATATATACTATTGATAGAACATTTTCAACATCTAATTTGAATTTTTTATTATCCATGTGTCGAACTGTTATCAATGAAGAACATATACAAATGCTTGTTACTGATAGTTCTATAGGTCAATTAGTAGTAGCTAAATTGTGCCAAGAATATCCGCAAATTAGTAATGGTGGAATGAATTTTTTGAATACGCTTCATTGTATTAGTCGACTGTTAATAACAGAATTATTTGATATTGATGAATGCATACCGACAGTATGTCTTGATATAGCAGACGATTCAAAAACGAATTTACAACGGATAGAAACATTTTTATCGAGCAATAAAATTGATGGATATATAAAATCATTATATAGTTATGATAACGAATCGTCTAGTTTTCGTTTTTCAAATTGGAGTAATCACAAAGAGATTATTAATAATTGTATTGAACGTTATAAGCAACAATTTATGAACAGTCTACTGCCACTTTTTCGTGTCTATGTTTCAAAACAACAATATCCATCCGTGTTCAAACCGAGTTATCTCGTTCAACCGTTTTTTGATCTTGTTACATATCCACATTGGCGTATGGTTATTGCTAATTGTTGTATTTATGATAAAGAAATAATTATGTGGCCACTAGTCGATGGTTATTCAGGATGGTAAAAAAAACTCCTAGTAGAATTCTGAAATTAAAAAATCGAAATGTAGAATTTTGTTGCGTACAAAATAAAAGCAGAGTTGTACTTTGAAATGTAAACTAATATTTTATAGGCCATTTCTTGCCGAAAAACCACTAGCAATTATGCCGATCATTATTTGTCCAAGTCGACAAATTTCAAACGAACAGCAAAATATAGTTTATGCACGTTTTCGAAAACATGTGCATCATCTCATTAAAAACTATCATCTTCGTCATGGTTGGATTCAATGTTCGTATTTTATATCATGTACAAATGAAATACGTTTAGTGTCAATGAAACCGACTTGGTCTGTTTATTTAACTGAAGGATTTAATTCTACGAATGAATATGGAAATCCAATCATGGCTCTTGTTCAACTGGCAAATCGTCAACGACCTCAGGCACCGGTTCTGAATGGTAGAACTGCGTATATTCATCGATTATGGATGAATATTCAAGAAAAACATTGTATTAACGATCTTATTGATTTCAAAGAAATTAAACGCATTCAACGAACAAGTAATTCTCTAAGTCGTTATGTTCGATTACGTTTTCAAGACAATGATATGATCAATAATGATAACGAACGACAAAATTTTATTGATTGTGGTTTTATTCAAGTAAATGGTGACTATTATGAAATGGGTCTAACGAATTTAATTGAATTTCGTTATAAATTATTGAAAAAATCTGAATTATTTCCTTTTGTTCATCATTCAATGTTATCTGCTAGTCAATCTCAATTCGATCCTATAACGTGTTTACCAACGAACGAGCTAATTACACAATTAGAAAAATTACGACAACAAGAACACAAAGATTTAATCTAAATAATCAATCTCATATGTCAAGATTTATCTGTATAGTGTTAGTTATGATATGCAGTAAAAAAAAACCTAAAATCTATTATGAAGCGTTATAATATTTGTACTAATTCAAGCAGTCAGTTCATAATACTTTTTGGGTACAAAATCTTGGGGATTTTTTTCTGTACAGACTATGAGCGAAGGAATTTAAAAAGAGGTCAATTCTAGTTATTTCGAAAATTGTCGGAATAAATTGAAAGGTGATTATATTTCATAACGTAGTTACGAGCAATTTCTGAAAGAAAGTTCCAGGGAAATTTACTGACCTCTCGTTTTAGTCAGAATTTAATAAGTATGTTTCATACTTTGGAAATATTCGTCTCGTATAGTTTCTATGGAAATCTCTATAGGAAATGATTACACACGAGTTTTAGTTGTTAATATCCTAATTTCTTCACAGGAAAGAATTTCTCTATTTACCGGAGAGATCATCGAGAATTGTTTGTTTTTCTTCTCTTAAATTAATCTAAAAGAATGTATTTGTATTTAAATAGAATTTAGATTATTCGCGTAGTCACACGAAGCAGAATTTAGACTGAAAATATTTGTTTTTAAAGAAATTAAACGTTTATTTATTTGGAATGAATTTGTTTACAGAAAAGAAACGGAAGTTCTCATGTGAAGAAGCGTAAAAGGATGTAAGTGAAACAAAACGAAACGAATAAAATAGATTTATATAGAACTATAATGAGTTAATTAGACACTGTTTTTTGCTTCATTCAAAGTTCGATCTCATAAAGCCAGAGAAAAACATAAAACGAAAGCCAACGAAATTATCAAACATAAGAAGCAAAATGAAAAGAAACTAGAGAATATTTATGTTTAGGAGACATATCTCCGTTCGTAAGATTATCGAATGGAAAACTATCACCGGACGGTGTAGAATTAAAAAGAAAATAAACACTCTAATAAAGTTTAATTATCAAGTTGACATATCATGGCTACACCACGTCCTATCCAATGTTCTTCTGGTTTATCAGATGGCAGTTTCATTGCTATCACAAAGTTTGTACTATGGCCTGTTGTTGATAAGACACCACGTCGTTCAGTGGTTTTATAAACAGGTGCTGTATAAGATGGTGACTGTTGTAATTCATCACGTTTTGCTGGACAAATCCATATTACTGGCATTGTATCGAAGAGAATTTTCGGTTGAGACTCAGCAAGCTTACGTGTTTTTCGATCATATCGAGCACCTTCAACAAATAGACCTTTTATGTAGGCTCCTAAAATAATCAATAGAAATTCGATTAAATTCTGTGAAAGAAAAGCGAGAATATTTACCATCATCAGGTGCTCTACTAGGTTCTTTATCGTCCATAACTTCATAATTGAATGCTAGAAGATCAATAGGTATTGTATATTTTCGAGCATAATTTTGTTGTACACCGGTGAGAAAAGCTTGCGTAAAGAAGAATCCACTAATCCATAAACAACTAGGTACATCTTGGTCATACCAATCCTAATAGAATAGATATAAAGAAACGAAGAAACATATATGTATGATCAACATCTATTATTTCTAGTCAGTTTAATAAAACAAAAACAAGACGAAGAGAAAAAGTTGATGATAGAAAGGACAGAATTTGTTTTTTTCATTTAATATAATTTCATTGAATTTTCAAATAGTCGAGCTAAATCTTCTTCTGTATGCGTTAATGGTGCCAATTTGGTTACACGTTTTTGTGGTATTGTTGCCTTGACTAATGCTGGAATATCACTTGTCGTATAACCAAGAGCTTTTAAACCATCATCAACATTAACACCATGTAGAAATTGTCGTAATATATCAGCTAAGATTTTACCAGCATCTTTATGCGGATGATTAAGAAATTTACTTTTTGATTGTCCACCAGTTGCTAAAATTGAAGCAACTTCCAAGTGACGTTCAGGACATGCGTGTGCAGTAAATTCAAAAACAGCTGGTGAAGTCATTACAACCGACAGACCATGTGGAATAATTGGATGATCTTTTGGATAATCTTTAGCATGATATGAACGTACATTACCCGATATACCATAAGACATACCATGGCAAAGATGAACGCCTGCATTACCGAAACCAATACCAGCCATAGTCGATGCTAAATGCATTTGTGTACGTGCTTCATGATCATCATGTTGATTTTCGATCGATCGTTTCAGATATTTTGCAACAGATCGTAAAGCTTGTATTGACCAAATATCACTAATAGGATTTGAACCTTGATATGTTGGTCGTTCGATAGGATCAGTTGGCCGTGGCGTTCGTTGATTATATGGTATAGCTGTATATGATTCGATGGCATGGCAAAGTACATCAAAGCCGGAATTAGCTGCTACACGTGATGGCATTGATTGAACAAAATTTGGATCAATTAAACCAAGTGTTGGTCTCATCGATCGATGAGCTATGCCAGTTTTTGCATGTAATTCTTCAAAATCAAATATAGCTACGCCCGTTGTTTCACTGCCAGTTCCGGCTGTTGTTGGCACAGCGATACATGGCTTAAGTGCATGTCGTACTGGCAGACCTTTACCAATTGGTGGATTAACATAATCAAGAAAATCCGTTGATTCTTTATCAGGTGATGATGCAAATAGATTAGCTGCTTTACATGTATCCATAACTGAACCACCACCAACAGCTACATAACCATCGTATTGTCCTTGACATGCAAAATGAATGGCTTCTTTAAAACTTGTATCTGTTGGTTCAACACGTATTTTATCAAAAATATTATATTTTATTTTTTTTGTTTCTAATACACGAAGAACATTTTCGAATGATTTTAATTTACGTATACGTTGATCAGTAAATAGAGCAATATTTGAGCAATTTAAATTTTTAAGATCATGTCCAAGTTCAGCAATAACACCGGGGCCGAATCGTATTGTTGAACATGCCATTTCAAAGGCGTAATCACTTTTAAGTCCGCCACCATGACTTGGACAACACTGGTTTGTGCGTTCGATCGCACCAAGCAACGATAAAACACGTGTTCGTGATACTGCTGACAACATTTCTGCCTTCTTACTATTTCGTTTCTATTCTTTCTGTTCTCTCTACACGACTTTTATACGCGATAGTAACATAGACTCTTACGAGCGACGATATGCGAGGGTAACAAAGAAGAAAAGAAAAAATGCCCGAAAAAAGCAAACAAACGCATTAACATAGATTTCTATTAATTCTTACCTGAAGAAATTTCAATCGAGCAATAAAATCCAGCACATACGAGCCAAGTGGTTTTAATCTAAAATTAAAATATAAAAATCATTTTTCATATATAAATTAAGATAAATGAATCATTTCGTTATCGAGGAAGATAATTCGAATTCGGTATACAACACTCGCTCATGTGAGAATAGCCAAAAGAACTCATCTTTCAGAAATGATGTGATCTTTCTTTGTTCGATGCCTTCTGATGATTTCAGTCATCTAAGTTCTAATCTGTATGATATCTTGCACTGCCTTTTCTTTATGTACTTTTTGCTGATTGCAAAAACAAATGGAATACTTACGATGGATAAGATTTCTTTTTCCACGTGCCAGGAATTCTCGATTTAAGCATTGACATAAATACTTCTTCTAATTCAGCTGACATGACAACAAGACCTTTGATGGCCTTTTGTACATCGATTAAAGATTGACGAACAGTTGTTAAAAGTCGATTGAATCGACCCATTTCTTGTACAAGTACAGTATTCATACCTATCAATGTGAATAGATCAATTTATACATGTCTATTCAGAACACAAAATATCATACTTTGTTTGTATTCAGTTGGATATTTTCGCATAGCCATTTCAATATTATAATTAGGTGGTAATTTGCTAAGAATTTCAGCAGCTACTTCACTAACAAGATCATCGGGTGTTTTGCCAACACCACCTGTAGATCCTTTTGCCTAAAAAACGCAATATAAATGTATAAAAACACATTTTAAAATTGATGATCCCATCTATCAAGCACATTGTAGCTACAATATTAATTAAGGAAAAGAATTATTTTTATCCTTGTCCTCCGAAAGCAATATATAAGAATATACAGATTTATAGATATAAATTAAAATAATAAATAATATATTTAAAAAGCGAATACGGCAATTAAATAAAGCAAGGAACTTTCTATGATTAGTCGTTTAAATTAATTAAGAAGAAGCACAGTGATAGCAAGAATTCTATGAACTTACGTTTGCTTTTGTCTATGAATGACGAATGCAAAAATGTGAAATGTTATGTTGTCGTGTATTCACAGCATATTTCGTGATTTTATTAGTGAAATGGTGTTCATACCTGTGTAAGAAGGATGTTTTCAAATAATTGGTTTGTTTCATTTTGATCTTTTGTTATATCAGCATTTGCATGAAAACCGAATATATTTGGATCAGCATTTAACGGTAAATTGTTAATATAAGTCATATATGATTCATACTAAATTAAGAATAGAGAACAGTTTTCTTTCTTTGTCCTGCTTTTGTTTTTGAACCAAGAATACTCACATCACCATCTAGTGGTGCATAGTAATGGCCACTTTCATCAAAACGAAATGCATCGGAGTCGATAATAATTGGACAATAAAATTTGGCAAGTAAAGTTTTCAATGTTCGACGATCCCAATCATCAGTAACTATGAAATAAAGAAAATTCAAAGTGTTTTTCTTCTTCTTCTCATCACATATACATACCACGACCACCATAGTTCTACAAAAGACAAAATAGAACGTAATCAATAGAGAAAAAAATGAATAGATTTATTTAACTTACACATTCTCCTGTTAAATAACGAATAGCTTCATATTGAACATCCTACAACATAGAAAAAAAAGCGTTTCTTTTCTTAAACAAAAACCTTTAATAAAAGTTGTTCTTTACATCGTATTGATTAAGAAACATATTCAATTGTTGCACGGAAATACGTAAATCAGTTTCATTGAATTCATATGGAATGTTCCCTACAAATAAAAATGTTAAACACATTTTACATTCTATTTAATTTGGCTTACATCCAAGTGGTCCAAATTTACGTCGTTCTTGTACTAACGCATGAAAGAAGCAAAGACCAAATAAAAGTTTTTTCCATGCTCGCTATTAAAACAAACAAACAAACAAACAAACGTAAACAAAACGAACATTTTCATTATCGCATACTCCATTTTTAGCATTGGCAAAAAATTCTGGGTCTTTAATTGGATCACTTAAATATGATCGCAATAGATTGAAGCGTAAACCTTTTGGTGCTTCATTGGTTAATTTAACACCATTTTGCAATATAGCAACAGGAAATTGTTTACTTGGATATGATGTTAACCATAGACGAAATTCTGGATGAATTGTATCAGGATTAAATTCCTATGAATCGAAAAATTGTAGTTTTTCGGTGCTGAAAAGTATTGTTGTTTCTGTTTTTACTTCGCAAATCTTCTCGAGTTGAGGCATCCATGATGGAGCCAAATGGCAATTTTGTAGTACAACCCAATTACCTTCTTTTATACCCTTTTGTATATTTTGTACTGCATATGGGCCTCTGCAAACGATGAAAAGTGTTTTAGATGATACAATAATAATAATAATAATAATACGTACTGTCCTTGACCCAAGGAAAGAGATGGCATTTTAGCTCCACCGAAACCCTAGAGAGAAAAAACAAGAATTATATTATCAAAACTATTTCCATTTTTAATATAGACAACAACAGAAAACTATATTGATTTCAGCGATGGACTGACATCAAATGTCAACATCATTTTAGCTAGCGGCAGAAAACGTGCAAAATATTACTAATATCATTCGTTGGAATGTCGAATGTTAGTTCATCGATTTTTTTTATATATTGCAGAATTGCTCTCATTGTGCGAGTAAGTGATAGAAGATCTATTATTCGCAGTATCAAGCTGGATCGTAAATTTGTTGAGTTGGGAAAATACTTTGATTACTCGAGGTAAGATGATGCTTACATTGAAAATATTTTCTAGCATCTGCAGGTCATATCCATATGTTATTGGACATATCGTTACTAGTACACAGATGACGATAGATGACAGTTTCTAACAATATTGACAATTAGTTAGAAGTTTTACCATCTATTATATCTATCATTTGTATATGTAATACATTCTAGACGATATATAAGTAAAACATTTTCTACTAGGTACATAACTGACATGACTTTGATAGAAAATATCAATACATCATATTGATCGGAAAGCTAAAAATATATTGAGGCCAAACACAACCGCACTTTTCTATCAAATATAAAACTAAACATACCATATCATCGGCAAATTTACTCAACGATGACATCGGATCGGAACCTGGAGACAAAACAAATATAATCGGTGTAATACAAGTTGAATCTTGATATGATTTTGATAAATCGAATGGCGGTGGTTCAATATATTTCTGGCCCAAATGATCACGTACGAAATCTTGTACAGCAGGTACAACTTTATCCGGACGTATACAACGTATAACACACATCCGTTGAAAGTCTCCTAGTTGAGTTTGCCATTGGTCAGGGAATTTCTCTCTATGTGGTTCTGTTGAATCGTAAACAAGTTTCCAGCCATCTTTTTGTGCAAGAAAATTTTTTCTTATATCTTTAAAGCGTGCTAATTCATCAACACGAACAAGTTCATCCCATGATTTTATTGGCAGCCATGCTGTTGGATTTGAAAATGTATTCGATAAAGCAACACCACCTGTTAGTAAGAATCTCCATTCTTCATCATCGATTTGTTTTTCATATTTAAGTAAATTAACACAAAGTAAAAATGAGAATAATAATTTATCTTTTTCAAATAATGAACGACAGATATTACTATATAATGAATAGGTGAAATGATTACGTAGATTAGCTAATCGTGTATCTAATATGTCTGATTTTTCTGAATTTTCAATCGACGCTACGAATAAGTTAACAAACCATGTCAATGAATATTGATACATAGGCTCAATATTAGCCAGATCAGCGATGGAGAAGAACAGAATGGTTGAATGAATAGCAATTGGCGTATAACCTAAACGAGCAGCATCGATCTTTTTCTCTGTTTCTTCGGCAATTAATTGTTTTTCACTAATGTCGTTAGCTAATGCTTTGGAACTTGAGAGAACGTTAATAGCTGCTTCATCTTCAAGAATGTTTCCAGACGAAGCACTTAACACTTGAAGAATTTTATCTTCAATTTCTTTTAACATTCGTTTATTTTCAGCACCTTGAATAATTAGAGAATTCTTTTCTTCTTCCAATTCGGGACGTTCACGTGCAACAACGATACCTATTTGAATAAACAGACTTCCAGTTTCTTTTTGAAAAAATCATCAAAAATCAATTTACCCAAAATTTGATCTTGAAGGCCTTCGAATGTAATCATAAAGTTAAGTAGGGCCACTTTAACAGCTGTTTCCGGTAAATAATGTGGATTACGTAATTTAGTTGTCATATAAAAACTAAAATAAAACTCAACATATAATAGCATGTGTTAAGATGAATCATCCGGCTAACAGAAACTTGTCTCTAAACTCGAACAAATCTACTATGAACTCAATTTAAATCAGTAATCATTTTAATGAACACTGATATCAGTACGAATCTTGTTTGGTTTATTTCTATGATAGAAATTACTGAAAAATAACTTACCGAAAATCAGGCGAATATTCAATGACTGAATCTCCCAGTTTAATACATAAACTACCGCCTTGTTTAAATGTTTGTTTAAGAAGTAATGGTTCAAGCATTGGATCAATTTCCTCGCCAATATTTTCCATTAAAACAGGATGACCAAATTGAATACAATTTTCCAAAACACGTACATAATCAGAATCAGATGGCTTAATTACCTAGAACAAAGCATTGGATTCACGAGGAAAAAAATTAAGAATCTTAATTTAAGAAAAGGCTTAATTACATGTAAATTTTTCGGTTTTTCCATATTTTTAATCCATTTATTTGCTTGTCCTTGAGGATCAATCATTAATGGCCATCGGCGAGAATTACTAGAAAAATTAAAAGTTTTGAAATTCAAAAACTAGAACACATAACTCGTTCAAAAAACAATCACGTACCTTAGTATAATACCATTTTCTATTGAAAATGAATCACTTGGTAATCCAGCAATATTCCATGCTCGAATAACAACAGGCTCTCCAAGAGTACCAACAAGAGAAAATGATGGTGAACGTGGTAGATTTTTTTCTTCGATTAATTTAAGCCATTCATTTGCCGTATCCTAATACGAAAAGAAAAAGAATCATTTAAAAATAAAACGAAACTTCATTTTTTTTTCTTCTTCTATATTGCTTACTTGTCGAAAAACAGCGGTAAATGCTCCTAGATAGGCAATAACACCACTTGATAGAAGTATGTCACCAATAAGATTATCATATTGATGTGTTAAATCTTTCGCAGCTTGCATCCAACGTGATTTTTCACCACCAAGTCCGCCGATTAAAGTTTCTGCACGTGTTAATTTTGTTTTACAATCCATGACCTTAAATTAAAAATAAATATTCGTTATGTTAATAATAATAAATAGAAATTCATCTTTCTCTTACTTGTTTCGATAGTTCGTCTTTTTTCGCTAAATTTTCATCGAGTTGTTTTTGTAAAACAGCTAATTTCTCTTGTACAGTACGTAAATGTGCACGTTTTGCCGATAGAATAGCTTCAGCTTTTGCGACTTGATCTTCAGCAGCAGCTAAAGCTTGCTTCTTCGGTGCAACGATTTTAGCGACCACATCATATTTATCCATAGCCAATGTCCACTTGCATAAACCAGCGCAAGCTTGTGAAACAGTTTCGACTTTATCTGGTTGAAAATTTGGATCCGGTACATATTTCTCACGAATACGTTTCATTAGAGCAGGCGAAATTTCATCACGTTTATAGGTGAGTAGAGTTTTGAGAAAATTCTGAGTACCTAAAACACGTTGAGATGTTTTCCACCAATCTTCTTTACGTTGGCCAGTTGCGGGGTCGACAACTCGTTCTGATTGTTCACCAAGTAATATACATATAGCTTCCATAACTGTTTTTACAGCACCTGGTGGATTTTTCATAGCTTTCATTTCAGCAATTTGTTCAGGTTCTACGTAATAAAGAAAAAAAATCAATAACATTCAAATCTTTAAAACGTCAACTATTATATTTACTTATAGTATTTAAGGCTTCAGTAGCTCGTTTAAACGCTGGCATAGCTGCTTCGAGTTCTAAATCACACTCGGCTTTAATTTGATCAGCGGATGCTTTTTGTTCATTGGCTTTTTCTTCGTCAACACGAACGATTTGTTCTTGTCGAACAGCTTCAGTCTTTTCTCGTTCAACAATCACTAATGTTTCATCAACTTTTTTGTCCATCTCAACAAGTTGCGGCTGTAAATTTTCTAAGGTCTTTTGCATTTTACCAACTTGTGATGCAGCATTTTCAAGTTTTTCTAAGCCAACTTCATAACGAGTCTTCGCCGATAACAAAGCTGAACGACGTTTTTCAAGTAAAGTTTTAAATGTATTGATTAATTCAAGATACGATGTTGGTGTGACATAATTATGTCGGTCGAGTTCAGCAAGAAAACGCTTTGATACTGTTTGTGTGCTAACATGAAAATATTTACATATATCAATGCATGCTCGACGTTCTTCATCGGTCATATCAGTTTCTTCAAGAAATTTTTGCGCAACAGCTTCCAACGCATCTTCGGGCCAACCTTGAAACCAATCAATTGTACAGCAATTAACAAGTGATGGAAATTTTCTTAGACGACTTCGAAATGCATCACCAATGGGACTCATAGCAAGTACAATATGTAGTTGATCACGACATCGTTGTATGAACATGTTGAAAAGAGCTAATGGACTGCCATCAGTTTGTTTTACTTTTTCTCGTTGTCTATATTAAAGAAAAAATAAAATGAATGATTCTTTTTTGTATATCAAATAAGGGACGATGTGAACATAGACTTGTCTCTATCGTCTGAAAACATTTTGCTTGCTAGTTCAAAGTCTTTTGGACTTTGATCATTTTCATTTTTCGATCTCTTTAACAAACTGTGAACTGTCTCTTTTGAATTGATATCCACAAGACAACAACAAATAGATAGCAGGAAAGGGATCATACAGGAAGGAATGATACGCAGATTGAACATCATTTATACATTTAAAATACAAACCCGGATCCTTCTCTTTTAGCTTGAGCTTTCATCCTAGAGTATTTATATTTATATTAATTCGTTTGCACAAGCGCACAAAAGAGAAAAAAGTAAACCAACAATATATCAACTTATTCCACATACCTGTCAAGTGTGCGCATTTTATCAATGATTTCAGCTTTTTCATCAGCTGGAAATAGATTTGGTACTTCACCACTATTCAATAAATTATTGATATCTTCCAAAAATGATTCATCCTTAATTTGCGTATCACAAAATAGAAAAACAAGATGACTATCAGTTTCAGTGGCTTTGCGTAGAGCACGTTTTAAATCTTCACGCCATTCATTTGTTGTGTAACTTTTTGATATTTCAACTTGAAATGTGTCCATCTCAGACATATGTGCAGCAAGGCGTGTTAATGATTGTCGACCGGAACCACCGACACCAACTAATAAGGCATGTGATCTTGGTTGTTTTATGATACGTGATACACGTGATACATGTTCAATAGCAAAACTAAATAGCAACGAGAGAAAGAGAGAAAAATAACGATGTATAAAGTTCTTTTTTTTTTGTTGTTGAAATAATTATTCATACCGAAACAAGACAAGATTCATCGGTTTTTTAGACATTTGATTAAATTCATCAAGATACTGTTCACTAACTGTACGCAATTGTTCAAGATTCGTAACTTCTAAATAACGTCGTGCTTCATTTTTCGGATCGCCAAAATCACAATAAATTAAACTACGTAAATTATCTTCGGTAACGGTGCCATTTTTTTCAACATCTAAATGTCCGAGTAAATTATGGAAATTTTCACGGAGAACTTCTTTTGATGTTTTTATGACTTGTTCATATAACCATTTACGATCATCATCATCAATTAAACGATCGTAAAATACACGAAGAATTTCATGAATCCTATTTTACAGAAAAAATAAAAACGTTCAATGCTTTTAAAACGCCAATGCTTACCAGTTTCGTTTCATTGCGGCTGGATCTGGACATGACTCTGGATCACTTAATGCAATACCTTGAATAACACGTGAGAAATCACGTAAATTGAATAAATAATGCGATTTTGCTGGCGTTGGCAGCAACGAAAGAAGCGATGCTTTGTATACGCTAAGTGTAGATTGAACAATCATTGGAATTACAAGTTTAAATTGATCATTGAAATTTCTATTAAAAAAAGGTAAATAAATAAAATAGTTTATGTTTCTTTATCTGATGTATCTCTAAATCAAATCTAGGATCTTGCTCTACATTACTGTCATCATGCGATTTATAATCTGATGAATTTTTAAAAGAAAATCAATACATACTTGGCAGTAATATGCCATTCCATGATTTTCGTGAAAATAGTTGTTAATACTTTATCATCAAATTCATTGATGCCAAGTGTATTGAAATGTCGTAGAAAACGAGCTGTTACTGCATTACGGCCACCACCTAGAGAAAAAGAAATATCAAGAATTTAATTCGATTACTAATTTCCTTAGTTACCTGGAGGACCCATAGCACAAATAAGTTGCATATCAATGAGACCAATACGTGATTGATCTTTTCGATCATACCAATTACTATGATCAAGCCATTGTCGTAATAATTCAACGGGTGGCTAGAAAACGTAAAACAATTCTATATCTTATTGACAAATATTTGCTTTAAATACTTGAGCTCCATATTGTTCAACTTGTGGCATCTGAGAAAAACAAAAGTCCAATGAATATTAACATAATCAAATTTTAATCTGTAAAACTTACATTAAGATCATCAACAAAAACGGCCTTAAAAAGTAACGAATTCAATCTTAATTAATCTATAACAAAAAATGAAATAGACTTACGCATTTTTGTCCAACCGGTGGACCATAGACACCTTTTCGTCGTTTATCTAATTTTGACATAATAATATCTTGTGTTTGACTTGCACTTGTTTGTGCCGAAAAGTTAATAAATATTGGTTTATATATAGCTTTATCACATTTACGTAGTAAATATTCAATGATATATGCTGATTTACCAGTGCCCGTTGGACCAACAACGAGTACAGATTTTTGATGCGTTACAAGCATGTCGAGCAATGATGTAAATCGAACGGTATCTAATGTTTCAACAATAATTTCATTAAAAAGTGTATCTTTTGCAATGGGAGGAACATTATAAAGTTGATATGACCATGGTTCCCAATATTGATTGCCTTCTTCAGCATCAGGCGGTTTTTCGCGAGCATTTTCCTCGTCCTTAAAAAACAAAATCAATAATAGTATAAAAAGCAACGTTCTACATGAATCAAATAAATACATACCTCCGTTTCAGAAACAAATTTGTAATGGTAAATAGTTAAATGCTCCGGTAAAAGAGCTGTGTAAGGCTTTGGTGGTGGTGGTACAGGATCTAATAGACTAAAATTTCGTTTTTCTTCATCATCAATACCAGCTACCATTATTTTTCGTAAGAATATATCGAATTTGACTCGACTATTTGTATCACCAGTTATGCCAATTGACCATATTAATGCAAAAAAGAACATTCCTTCAATCCATGTAAAAATTTCTTTTGTTACGTAGGAGGCAAATTTCTTCGGATCATGAAATTTCTCAAATAGACAATCGAGTATATTCATTAATGACCGTACAAGATTAGAATCACTTGTTGGGGATAATTCTTTCAAGCCACCTTTTCGTAAATAAGCAATACATGGATCAACGAAGCGTTCGAATAATTCAATGATTAATTTTTTATGTTGTTCAGTTAGCGTTGGTGGTGCTAAATTTAACCATGAAGTAAATACTGGTCGCCAGCCAAGAGAAGCTGGTTCCATATAGATCATACCACAACGTGAAACCTTAATAAGGACAAAGTTATACACTCTAGTAAACATATAATCCGAGGATAAAAATAGGATTGAATGTATAGTTACAAAAGAAAAAAACAATCGTTTTCTACATTCCATTATTCTAAGAACGATCAGTATAGATTATATTTATTTCAGAGTAACTTCTATGCTAGTTCGAAGAGGTTCTGCAAAATTCACATGTGCTCTCGGCATTTGAAATCGTCTTGGCGCAAGAGAAAAATCTGAACCAAACTTATCTTCAAAGGCCTGTTCTTGCAAACTTGAAACTCTGGTTTCAACACAAGCGACGTAATCAACTTACAGTAGCTGGTGAAGCTTGTTCGAGATCCATAGGCTCAAAAATTAAATTAGTTGTCTTTGCCAATTGAATAATTTCACCACTGTTTAAACATAATTTTTTATTATCATCCAATACAGTATTCATATTCTATGGTGAACAAAGAAAAACAAACAAGTCATCAATAAAAATGAATCTCTCATTAAAATACACTTACTTCAATCCATATAGCATCGACTGGACCTATTAATTAATATTCATAAATAGATTTTTCCAAAAAAAAACCAAAAGATTTCTTACCATCGAAAAGTAACCATTTACGATCCGGCGTTGTTGATACTGCAAATTTTCGATAGTTGACAGCTAAAACGCCATCACTCCATTCATGACTGACAGGATCGAATTGACCATATAATTGACCAATAGTAACTGATTTTGGATTAATAACTGTATATTCAGCTTTATTTTCATCCATTTGACCCTAAATTAGCATTCACAAAAGCGACAGTCATCAAGAAAACATCCATTCATTTTAGTATTTACTTTTTCATGAAGAAGAGCCAATGCTGCTCCTAATGTTCTGTAAGCACTTGTTTTCCCACCCATCGGTCCACCAACAATCATAAAACCGTGTCGTACAATCATCATTTCATAAATTTGTTGAATTTTCTCCAGGAAGAATGATGTGCATTGTAAATTAGCATCTTTACATGCTTGTTCGACAGCTACATTCATTTGATCATAATCTGGTTTAGGTAATTTAACACCAGGAAACAAATCACTTGTAATACCCTAATGAAAATAAAAATGATATTTGGAATTTCTGCTTCAATTCGGTTCTCTATTACTTACAGCAAATAACGGTAAATCACCAGCTAAAAATTTCGGCAAGTTAACATCAATAATTGATCGTAAAACGAGAATATCTTCATTCTGATCGGGATATTTCAACTAGACAAATGAAAACCAAATATAAAAAATGATGATTTTTGAAAAACTAAAAAAAAAACTAACTTTGAGATTTTTGGCTGCAATTAAAACTGAGATGACAGCACGCATACCATAATCGTAGTGATGCTGAGATGATAATTGTTCAGAACATAAACGATATGTAGCTACAATTTTAACGGCCAATGGTCGAGCATTGACGAAACCAGAAGAATATAATTTAATTTCAGCAATCATACTGTAATCAGGAACCTAAATAATAAATAGACAATACTAGTTAATTTTATATCTAAAGTCAATTAAATTATATGTTTACCATCATAGCTACTGGTCTGAACAGAGCCTAAGAGTGAAATAAAAACAAACAATAATAGAATTTCAGATGATATGTTTTTAAAAATTACTTTCAAGTTATCTGGTAGTTCAGATCGTCCAGCATAACCAGGATTCTAGAAGATCAAAATTAAATTGTTTATTTAGTTAGAAAAAAAAGATTTACCATTGTAATAAATGTTGCACATGTTGGGTCAAGTTTGATATCGGTACCTTCAAAAAGAATCGTATCAGCACCTGATGTAATACCACGTTGAATAATTAAAATTTGCTGAGCAACAACAGATAATACTTCCAGATCAATACGACTAAATCACATGAATAAAATCGATAGCATAACAAAGAAACATAGAAATAAATTTTGACACTCACTTGAATTCATCAAAACAAGACCAAGCGCCACATGATGCAAGACCCTAGAGAGCATTTCAGTAACATTTCAGTTAAATTGAATGTTTCAAAATTTAAATACTTTAAAGAATTTGCCCAATGCTTTGTAATCCATAGCATCTGAACAATTGAAGACAATACATTGTTTAGCAACAGCTTTTGCTAAATCTTTTGTTGTTTCAGTCTATGAAAGAAAAAGAGACATAGATGTATATATATATATATATAAGCTGATTTACTTTTCCTGTGCCAGCTGGGCCTTCAGGTGCACCACCCAAATGTAGATGTAAGGCAGAGAATAAAGTACTAAAAGAAAGTAAGATCGAACAAATCATTCAAAATAAATGTTTTCATTTTACCGATAACATCGATCTGTCAATGGAGTAATAACAAGACGAGATGAGTTACCAAGATATTCATAACCGTATTTTAAACTTGCATTGATCATACGTGTCAATACACTTTCATTCTAAAAATAACAGATACACATTTGATACAACGGAAACAATTTACAACTAAAAGGATCATAGACCTATTCTCAAGAATCTATTTTTTTCTCGATCAGACTTTATTGTGTTATTTGTGTTAGGTCTCTAAATGAAAATAAAATTTCAACTTCATCAGCCTGAGGTACCTCTATCACTAGAGCTGTGAGCGTTGCTTCTTGATTCGATGAATTTTCGCTTCCATCAACGTACATGTTTTAAATGAGAATTTGCTTGAAATCTTATATTTTAACTCTTCTGACAAACTCAAGAAGAAGCGTTAAGTAAAGAAAAATCGTTTTCATACCTCCCAGTAGTATCGAAGTTGTGCTAACCATAAGAAATCATCTTCTTTCGAAACTTTAGCATCGACTAATGTTGCCAACACATCACGTGAATGTACATCAAGTACGACAAGAGCTTCCAATGTTGCACGATTTTGTTCTGATAGTTTACCTCGGACAAGTTCGACAATTTCATTAATTTGATCATTGTTCAATTGTAAATAGTCTTCAAGTGCCTAGAGGAAAACAAAGGAAAATATTTTTTTTCGTTTTGGTTAATATTCATTTGTAGTTTTCTTTTACTTTTTGTCCTTCAACGATAGATCGATGGATATGTTGTGTCCAAAAAAACATAGTAACAGCTAAAACAGCTTGACCCATCCACGATCGTACCCAAATAACACGGCGTCGTTTTTGATAATCAACAATAGATTCAGCAATAACTTTATGAACAGATGCAATCATAACACCTTCCAATTCCAGTAACCATTTCTCAACTTGACCACGAGCTTTGGCTGTAGAAATAATGTCTTTTAATTCAACAACTTCGCCTTCACTAGATTTCATGTGTGTTATTTCAAGATTTTCGGTAAATTGTACTTTATCAATGCCCTCAAAACATTTACGTAAATGAGGTTGAACACTAAAATAAAATAAAGTTCAAAGATGCAACAACAATTTCATTTTTTCAATTTTCAAATTCATACCGAGTTGGATCTTTTGTTTCGGATAAAATTTCCAATAATTCTTCATTCGACAAGAAGAAGAAACGAGAAAAATATAGACGTTTCTTTTCAAGATACGCATTAAGACCCTATAGAATAACAAAAAAAACGAATAGTAAACAGCCCGTGTGTCTTTTTCTTTTTTACTTTAAGGATAAGTTCCAATGAATCATCAGATTTTTTAAATTTTTCCAACATTTTATCTATTTTAACAATTACTAATGAATGTTTATCTTGTAAACACGCTTTCATTAGTTCACGCCATGTTTTATCGACTGCTGTAAAACGACGACCTTCTTCAGGCATTTGCGCCATAATATCAGGACTACTAAAGATAGGTTCAAGATAAAGCCAATTCTTTTGTACAGTTAACCAAACATCAAGAATATCTTGAAGCGTAGTCATCACACGTTCCCATTCTCTAAATATTTACTCGATTGTTAGAAAGAATGAAATTAGTGAGTGGCTCAACTTACAAAATATCTTTTTGAAATGGACCAATATATGGTGAACCTTTCATTGTTTGTGTTTTAACAATATGATCGTCGAGTAATAATTGAATATCATCAACAGCTGATAAGACATAAGTGCCAGTTTCACGATAGGGAATAATTGAGAACTCGATCTATATGCAAAAAAAGCAAAACGAATATTCATTTTTCCCCTCCGATGAAGTTAACTTACATTTTGCCAATCTTTTTTCATTTTTTCCATGGCTTTCTCAAGTGAAAATTCTTTCGATGCTGCTTCACTGATTAGTTCAAGTTTGGGTATATGCTGTATAATATCCATTTCGATAATTTTATTTAAATTAGTGTCTTCATCAGGTTTAAATGGTTGTCCAATAACTAATGAGATTTGTTCCCAATGGCGATCACGCAAGCCAGGATTGAATAATGTTTGAATTAATGGCGTCTTCTCTTTAAATTCTCCGACTTGTACACGTAGTCGATTGGCCATTTTGCGTGGTTGTGGATTATTATTAAATTGGCGTTCAAGTTTAAATAGCTGCCGTTCATAATTGCCAACATCTTGTTCTACTTGATCCGGCTGAACTTTATCTCTTGGGCCTTCTGTCCATTCACTAAATTTATTTATTTTTAAAAAACAAGCCTTCTATTTTTTCATGAAAATCTAATAAAAATACATACATGAGTTTATTGGTAAATTCAACGCCTGTTTCATATAATTTCAAATAAGGTTGCAATTGATTTAGTGTTTGTTGACGAATTGGATAAACTGTGCTGTCCCATTTGAATGATTCTTCTTCTTGATTAAATTGTTCAATCTATAGTAAAAGAAATTATTTGATTGGAAAATGTTTTTTAGAAATCAAAATGATTTACTCGTTCAGCAGCTTGCGATAATTTCTGTTCGAGATGTTGAGCTTTCTTATGATAGCGTGGCAATTCTTTGATATTTCCCATTTCTTGAAGTTCTTCCACTTGTTTAGTATAATTATCAAGTTCTTCAACGAATCGTTCACGTTTTAACTAGAGCAAAAAAGTAGATATTTACAAGAAACAAAAAACAGAAGATAATTTGAATAGTTTACTGTTAAAGCTTCTTTGAATTGTTCAATTTTTTCTTTTGCAATCGATGCATGTTCTTCAAATGCGGCTGGCATACGTTCGATCCAAGAAAACATATTTGTATTTAAACGTAAATCCGCTGGTGGTAATTCAGTGTTGTCCAATAGAAAAATCAGTTCATCTTTAGCTTGTACAAGACGTTTTTCAAGATCGGGAATTGTCTGAGTTTTTGCTTTACTTAAATATGCGATTATATCCATTAATTCAGCTGTACTCATTGGCGTTCGAACGGCTTGTTCAGCAATACGTTCAAAATGACCAATTAACCTAAGGAATAATTTCGAAGTTATTTATTTTCAACAATAAATTAAATCTTTATTCTTGATGATATCATAGGCCGAGAATTTAAATCGGGTTTTCTCTCATTTAGGTATGATACAGTTAGTGTTATTTTTTTTTCCAACTGATATTTCATATTAAATAATGTCGATAGGGTTCAGGAGAAATTTGCTCTTCGGGAAGCACTTCAAGATTTTTTCTAGAATTACTATTGATTTTCGAAAAAAACAAATTTCTCGCTGTGGCTTATTAAAATAACGAAAGGATGATTAAGTAATGACTTTTTACAAAGAAAGAGACATGCTGCAATGGGCTTGTTCACTTTGCTATAGTAAACAATAACTAGTTCGACAATTTATAGCCTATCCAACTTAAGTTGCTCGTATAATTCTTTTTTACTTTAGGTAATATTGAATTTAACATTAAATCAAAGGTTCAATTCATATAGTGGAATGAAATAAACTTACTCTTCTCCTGATTCTCGATGATCTTTTACCATTCGTTCAAGCAAACGATTCATACAAGCTTCTGCTCGTTTAGCTAACGATCGTATTAAATCATTACAATGAATTTCAAACATTCCACGGCGAACAACTTTTTCCAAATTGTATGTAATTTCTTCAATTTTTCCTTTGTATTTCTGTACTTCTTGTATATAATCATTAAATGAATGTTCTTGATTTAAAAATTGTTCAACATCAGCATCAGCCTGAAAAAGAATTTCTCATAAATGAACTGCAAATTTTCTTAATAAAAGCAAACCTGTTTTGTTATTAACACTGAATATTGATCAAATGTTGAGGCATGTTCACGGGGTCCTTCGAATTCTCCGTGTAACATTTCACGTGAACGTGCTTTATTTGATTCCAGTATTGATGGAAGTATAACGGGAATTAAATATTGACTATCACCATAACTCTGAAATAGAAAAGTATCCTTTTAATAAATTCTAGAATAATACAAACAAGTACTAATTACGTACGGTACTTCGATCAGAAAATAATTTTGCCTCGATTCTTGGTAAATTACTACATTTAGCAATAATTAAATCGTACATTGAAAGAAAGACTGTTTCGAAATCTGTAAACGATGGTTCAAACTTAATTTCATCTTCACTCAAAAACATATTCATAATAAAACCTAGGAAAGAAAAAGAAACTATATTTTTGTTTCTCTGGTTTCACTAAATTTAATTTTCATACCGCTATGTTCATAGTTTCGAATCGATTCTGGTGGTGTTATCAGTAAATTTGTGTAATCATCAATTGTGTACAATGTTATATCTTGTAAACATTGTGTCATTAACGTAGCAACTGTATTAAAAAATGAACGAAATTTCGGATCCTCTTGACTTGGAACAATGCCACGCTTATGACCTTGATAAAATATGGTTTGAATATCACTGATCCATCTATATTTTACAAAAAAATGATTCCACATTGCTAGTATTATTATTATTATTATTATTATTACCGTTTAGCTAATTGTTCTCTTGCTGAATCCATATGTCGTTTGCATGTGGTATGAAAAGTTGAAAGTTCAATAGAGTCATTTCGTTCACGGAATTCTTCACAATCAATCACTTTTAATTTTCTAAAAAAAATAGCAAAAAATTCCTAGTTGAGCTCTTTTTGTTCTTTCATTATTAATTTACTTGAAGATATTTTTATGCCACATTGATAATACTTGTGCCATAGCTGGATTTATTGAATGAAGATTTTTTTCAATAAATTTTCTCGCGTGAACAAAAGAACCATGCCATGGTTTAGGCAAAACAGCTATTTCTTGGCGATGTGGAAGAGTTTCTTCTTTTACTCTTTCTTCTGTATCACGTGGATCACGAAGTACAAAGTCAACTAGAAACATACGACGAATGAATTATTTTGGAAATTTTTCAGTCCAGTCACTTTACCAATGGCTTTTTTAACGCTTAACAAATAATCTTCTTTCATTTCTTCAGTCAGTGAAGTAACGAGCGACTCCCAACTGTTTCGTAAATCATTTGGAAGACGTGATAGTGTATCATTTATACGATTCTCATCTAATTCAGCCACATATTCTGTATCAATACCATTGTGAACATAAAAATGATAACGCTGCGAAAAAAAGTAAATAACAGAATAAGATTTTCTTAATAGAAAAATAAAATAAATATTCTTACTAAAATATCTTTTTCAACAGCTGTTGGCATATCAGATACACCTGGTGTATTATCAGCTCCATTTAAATATAAACTGTTCAAATCATTACCACTGTTATTATCTCCATTTCTTTAATAGCAACAAGACAAATATTTGATTTCTATGCGTAGATTATTTATCTTACGTAACAATATCGACAAGAGCTTTGCGAAAATCTTCACGTTGTTTCTTTGAATCGACTGTTTTACGATGTACAGCTTCAAGAGCTTTTGAGTCAGGACTACGAACAGGTCCGTGAAGTCGTTTTCGTTTCGGATCACCTATATATCAAAACAATTTAGAAATATTCTCCCAGTTCACATTTACTATTGAAATTGTTTTATTTAATCTATTAGAAAATATTTTCTCTATTTTATTTGATGCCTTCTTGGCGTAAATATGTAACATTTGATTCTATGTATGATACATATCGAAAAACAACATTTTATAGTGAATGATGCAATTTTTTTTGTTTTTTTAATTTTTGTTTCTCCTAACAACAAACAAACATACGTTCAATAAGTTCTTGTAGGAATCGTTCATTTTCAGTTGCGACTTCATTAAGTTTATTCTTTCCGGGAACAAATAAGGGTGCCCGAGGTGTTGCCCATTGTGGCTTAGCGCGTACTTCGGGTAGTTGAGGTAGAAACTTGGCTGGATCATGTGTACCTTTTCCTTTGGTACCTTCTCCACGAAGACCATGTCGATTCTTTAGAATAAAATATTATGATTACATAATACTTATAGTTATAAGTTCAAATGAAGTGCAAACAATGTTACCTGTATATCGGCCATGATTCTGTATGAATTTGATCAACACAGAAAGTGAAAGTGTATCAATGTTTTGAATACCATTGTAGATGTATTTACAAGTTTGATTACTAGGCAACAAATGTCCTTCACTAGGTTTCAAATGATAATAAAGAAAGTGTTTGAAATCATTTCATATTTTATGAAAATCTTTTTCTAATTATTAGAAAATGTTCCTTTACGAAGCTTTGATCAAATGAGATTTTGTCACGTGATGACATCTATTGAATAAGTTTCACGCTGGTATAATAATATATCTTTTTTTTTTTTTATACAATTGTTGTTGGATCAAACAATATAAAACAGTCAAGACAACATGCAAAACTACTATTGGAAAATTTTTTCTTATTAAAGTTTTTCAATCTGTTCGCCGTCGATGTAGAAGATGATGATGATTCGGAATCAGCCTTTTCATTTTTTCCCATAGTTATATTATTTGAAAATGGTGACGACACTGCTGTTGAATAACGTCGTAGTAAATTTAATGAAACAAAACAAACATTATCTTGACGAGAATTAATTTTTCGTTGACATTTTGAGCAAATACGTTGCAAACATATTGTACAACAAATTCCCGGATTTAATAGAGAAAATTTGACTTTTCGACATGAAAAACATATATAACCATTAACAACAGTTGTATATAGATTAAAATCATAAAGTAATGTTGCGAATTCACTATTTGTTTGAACATTTCTTATATGAGACAATTCGTCAAAATTTAAAGCAACATATGGATTCTTTTTAATTGACTGTTGGATGTCGGTTCTTGATGGCAAGCATGATGGCGATGAACACAGTTCAGGCGAAAGTGATGTTAGGATAGGTGTAGTCTTTTCTTGTAGATTAATATCAAATGATAATGAAGATACAGAAATTCCATTGGTATTGCAGTCAGTATCATCATCATCATCTTCGATAAAAATAGGTTGAACACGTTTACGTCCAGGTGTCGACATCAGTTCTTCGTCTGTTTTACGTACTTGACGCGAATCAATAAATGTTTTGATCTGATTTTATCTGTATATATGTAGATATATTTATAGAACGAAAGAGAGTAAAAATATAAAAGATCATTTTCTTTAAAACATTCGTCCGAAATGTGTGAAAACAATCTGTAACAAAATCTCATGAAGTCCAAAACGAAATAATGTCAGTAAGGTGTCGCTTCAAAAAAGGAAAATTGTTACACAATCATAATACAATCGTGTGTTACGTATCTACTGTTTTCAATAGATCGACAATGGCATGTTTAGTTTTATCAGAAGTCTACTTTTCTCATGAAGAAAAGAAATCATTATGTTAAACAATTGTTTAACAGGATATGGGAGCGTACTGATACTGTTCCGAAACTCTAAAGGACTTCACAATTGTAAAACATGCTAGACATTACTTTATAAAATAGCTATTGAAAAGTCTGTCACGTCAATAACTAATATGTTTATATTTATTATGCATGAATGTAAGTTAGTTGAGAACGATGTTGTTAAAATTTATCTTATTTACCATTAAAAAAGCGTTCGAGTAAAAAACATGAGTGCTGATATCTACGAGTCGGTGAAATGTGTTAGAAAAACGGACGAAGATGGATGTAGTCGAGTTTTCTGAGATATTGTTCATACGTTACTGCTTGCTGCTAATAACTGTTAACGAAACCATAATATGATTGACATCATTTATCACACAGTTAGTATTCTTTGTAGAATACTGTAAGACATTGTCACCGAATGATGGATTATGATTAACACGGAGTTCAAGTATTATAGCAATGGCTTTTTTTATGCATGTAGTATTGTAATGAATCGATTCGTCATAGAGACGACTGAACAATAAGATTACTCGCTTCCGAGCTCGTTTTCTGTATGCAATTAAAATAAAATAGACGTATCTAACAACGAACCACATTGTTTATATTCGCTTTCTTTGGATTATTACTGAATTCAAATAGATGAAAATATATAGATCATATGCTCGTTGGATTGCTTCGATGAATGTCAACCGTTGATTATAGATGTGAAGCTCTTTTTTTTAAAGCATATTTTTTCAATGACAAAGAATCATACAGTTAATCATCATATGAATAGTTTCCTGCAATATTCTTTTGCTTGACCGAGCTGCTCTATTCAACCTTAACCTTTTTTTCTTGATTATCGTACAGAATTTTAACTTGCAATGCATATGTTTGCTTTCTCTTGTTGACACGAACGAATGACATGACATTTTTACAGTCTCCTTTTTTTCCTCTATTATCATATTGTTGAAGTACCCCCACAAGAATTTATATATTGATAAAGCTAAAAAAAAATTCTTTAAATATATTTACTTTGGGTAGTTTAAGCAGAATTTAAAGAAAGTTTTACAATAGTTATGCTTTTGAATAATGTTTAATAAACTTTAGAGGCAAATATATAAATCTGAAAATAACTGATTGTTATTCGGATTTGTTCATGAATGAAATCGATGAGAACTTTGCAGACAAAAAAATACTAAATTAACACTACTGCCATTGTAATTTTAGGTACAATTGAATAATAACTCAAACAAGAAAAACTACATGATACAAAGATGAACATCAGATCATTGAAGAGGAGAAAAGCTCGTTTTTTTTATTTCTGCATGATTCTCTCGAGGATACAAAAACAAAATTTTTTTCGAATACACGATAGAATAATTCGTAGACGACGATGTAAATTTGATCGAAGCTCTTGTTTTAAAGATTATGTTCGTACTTTTTTGTATTTAAATCAATAATTGTAGCAATTAATGGACTACTGACTAAAATGAGATCATCACATATTCTATTGACATAGCCGAAAATGTGTTTGCCACTATCAACGGCAGACCAGGCACAAACAGCAGCCGATATAACTACACCTACCACAGCTGTACTAGCAGTAAGTGCAATTCGCGCTCCGCCCGTTATAGCCACTGCAGCTGGTGCAGCTGCTCGAAAGATATCATCCGAAAATGGAGCACCGGCCATAAAAGCTCCACCGACTGCTGCTCCCAATGAGGTCTTACTTGACTTTGATTTCATCATTGTTGCGGTAACACAATTTTCAAGCGTTGATGTTTGCAAACAACCTTGATCGACAGTTAAATGATATTGAGTCAAATATTGGCGAAAATCTTTTGTCAGACCAAACGCATGTCGAATATGATCTCTAGCTAGATAGCGTGGCAATTGATCACCGAATGGAACAATGGCCGCAAATCCAGCTCCAATTTTATAATTGAATACGTTCAATACATAGCCACGACGGAAGCATATGTTCATAACACGTGCCAACGCTCGCATTCCAAGTGCATGAATACGATGATTACGTGCGTCGAATGCTAAACGACTTATTTCATCGAATAAGCTTTTCATATCAAACGATTGTTCTTTCAATAGCAACGCAGCATCGGAACTAGCTGGCATATAGTCAGCTGCTGTTAGATAGACTTGATGTGATTCAATCTCATTGTCGAATCTCAACTGTTCAATAATGGTTGATGTATATTGAGCACGTTGTTCGGCTGTACTGCTACCAAAAAATATGCCTGAACGTTCACGAAATTTAGACAAAAAATCAATGTCTACTTTGGATCGTACTAAAATGCAATGTCGCTTTAATGTCTGTTCAATGTAAGTGATCCAACCGTGTTGCTCATGCCGAAGTGTTTCAGCAAATACTAACAGATAAATATCACAGTCAGCCTTACGAATTTCATCGAGATAATTGCCTGGTTCAACTTGATTATCAACCGTAGCCATGTCCTTATCATGGCCTTGAATATCGACAAGTGTGATAGCTGTTGTCTTCAATGGATTAGCCGGAGATACAAGTGGTTCTTTTCGATTGAATTGTAATTGATAGTACGTACTTTTTATGCTGCGTACAGGTGACGATTCATCAGTGATTAAATTTTCAATACCAAGTAAGCGATTAAGAATGGTACTTTTGCCAACACATGTATAACCAATAATGCCGATCTTAGCTCGTACAATATCATGACGATGATGCAACCATTGATCGTTAAGATCTTTTTCGATGGTTACGAGTAAATCAAGAATTTGCGGTTGAAACTGATCACTTGAAACAAGTGCACAATTCCATTCGATCATTTTCGCATGAGTATTTGTGAATGCTCTATAGAATTCAGCATCTGATATATCAACAAGTAGACGTTCACATATACGAATGTAGTGTGAACCAACACCATCGTGGTTATCTTGATCTGACGTCGATATAATTTGTTTGTATTCTTCTTGACATGTATTCAAATTTTCAATCGGATATTTTTTTATTCGTGTAACACAGTCCAATAGTTTTTCGGCCATAATATGTGCATCCGTCATTACTTGATGTGCTTGGGTCCATCGAGCGAAACGTTCAAGTGTAGAAATAAGATTTACTAGATGTCGCCGTCGACATTCAATATCACACCAAAGATCAATCATATTGTTTTGTGTTAATTGTCTCGATAGTAAATGACTCGTGTAGCGAATACCATATTTTATAGTCATAGTACTCCACAATTGTTGTATTAGTATTTGATGTTCCATCGGTGTTTTATCGCGAGGATATTCAAGTAAACAATACATACAACGAAATCGTTTGTAATTTCCGTTGAGTGTTTGTACTGAGCTAACACATTGGGCGCAATATAGGCGACTACATTTTGTATTAATACATATTCGTGGAACACGATCTTCATTTATTCCAAATGAATTTAGACACATTGTACATGAGTCATATATCTATCAGCATAAGATTTAAAAAACTTTCAAGCAACTCTATTAATCTTTTCTAGCATTACCTGTTTTGTATTCCCATTGACTTTTCGTCGATTGAATAGTGTCGACGAATTTTCTGTCTCATTGTTGGCCTGTTGAGAGTCTAAAAGTTTATTCAACAAAATAAGTTTTAAATTCAAACTTATCAAGTACTTTTTGAAGAATTATTGCCCATGATATTCGAAACGAGTGAAGTTCAATCAATCCAACTCTAAAAGAAAACTTCTCGGTATCACATCAATAAATAATCTATGTTAAAGACACCATTGTTGATTGTTTAATAACCTCTAGACAGGTGTTTTATTATCAAAAAAAGAAGCATCGCTTTTATCAGAACAAATGTTTTATCATAGAAACATGACAAATTCTAGTGTGGTGCGAATTTTCTTTTTCTTTGTCATCTGATCAGTAAGCGAAATTCATGATTCAAAGTATATAGATATGATGACATAAAGATTATACGTTTGAGTGTCATACCGATATGATAGCTAGCCTTGCTGATGAATCTTTATCAAATTATCACGTAAGACTATTTTAGAAAGTAGTTGAATATCTTTCGAAATAGAAAAGTCGTGCAGGTGCTTTTATTATTGCATTTAGAAGTAAACGAGTCAGACAAAGAACAATGAAGTTATCAAAGAACAATTGTTTCTTTCTGAAAACGTCCAGAAGATAAAATTTACAAGTATTTCATCAAGAGCTAGTAAAAATAAAAATGTTCGATATTGATTTATAGTGTTCATAGATAAAGACATATCTAAGATATCGTTTCTTGGTTGATTTTAATGTATATTAGAATTAGTTATTTAAAAATAAACAACGAAAAATGCTTATCAAGGAAACATAACAATTTTATATGAATTTTACAAAGAGAATAAGTCGAGTTTTGTTGATGAAACTTAGATAACTTTTATGCTTTGTTGATTCCGTGGATTTCGAATGATTTATTGAAATATGTTCATTCAAATTGCAAGAAGATCAAGAGCATGAAGACCACCGAGTACAGGCCGAGCAGTAAAATATACAGCTTCGTTTGTTGTTGTATCATAGACATCCGATAGAGGTATTCGTGTTGGTGTTGAATGTGCAAAGGTGTAAAGGTTATCAACAATCTGTTGTCGTTGTTCAGTATTGCCTCTTGTCATTGCAGCTATCCACATTGATGAATCAAGTTTAGCAAGAGCACCTCGACTATCTAAAGGTAAACCGAATTGATTCAATTTTTTTTCATAATATGCCAACTCAATATCTCTGATTCTCAATTCACCAAAGAGAACATCATCTAATCCAATCACAAATGACCAGAACATATTATATTTTTGAGACCAAGTTGAATCGGAAGCATTATATTGAAGACGAAAATGATCTTGACCATTCCAGTCTAATAATGTCCAGGCATACGCAAAATCGACAGCTTGTTTCATGTATACATCAGCTTGACTTTGATTTCCTAAACCCATCGAAAGCAGAATAGAATAAGCTCCAAGACCTATAATGCCTTTCAAAGCTAGATTAGCGTTGTGTGCTGAGGGACCTTCCTAAAATGAACATAATTATTTGCTCATCGACAAAACTCAGAAAAATACATGCAAAATCGTCTGTACATAATTGATTTTCTGGGTCTGGCAATGAATCATTTAGATAGTGCGCCCAACTTTGAAGTAATGGGGCATAGGGTTGAAGATAATCGATCTGTTGGCTTTGCCGTTGAGCAATAGCTGCCAGTAGAATTAACATATTTCCTGTTTCTTCCATGGGCATCTGTTCTTGTTCTTGTGGAAGTATAGAACAGACCGGCCAATCACCCAGATGATGTGGTGTCCAAGGTAATTTATATCGAACATAAGTTTCATTATTTGAGTAGGCCAATAAAGGTAGCATAAGTCGACGTAAATATTCTGGTCCAAGAGTAAGAAAGAACGGAGCTGCTGGTGATATAACATCAACAGTACTCACATCGCCGTCTGAACTTTGTTCCTTCATGTATGACCATGCTTCTTGTCGTTCATCATTCCATACGGTGACACAAGCTCCTGTAACTTGTCGATGAACAAGCGAAAGAAGTGTCGCATATTCATCACCTATTTAGAAGAATGTATTTTGATTTTTGCCAATTGTTTTTTTTTCAAAACAGCGCACAATTTGATTAACCTACCTGCTACATTTGTGTATCGATCAATAAGCATTTTATCGTATCGATTAGCTTCGTCTTGGATATCATTAAAACGTTGAAAAGCAGCATCGAGTAGTTTTTGTGCGTTTGTATAAATTTTAGTCCAATAGGGTTGTTGATAATTAGAAAAAAAATTAATTGACAATTGTTCATCGTGAAAAAAGACAAGAAAAGACGAATATGAATTTGAATTCTGATTGATTTGACTATAATCAAATTGAAACGATGAAGCTGGATATCCATTTTGAACTGATTGTGGTCCTTGGCTATCATCTCTTTGAGGAAGATTAAATTTTCCTTGAATAAATGCTTGTCGAGATAGTGAAGCATTCGTTTGTGTACTATCACGAAGAAATCGAGATCTAGAAGCTACATAGAAATAGCCCCAATCAGGTTTAATTCGATCTCCATGAGTTTGAAATGGAGCGTGACTGTAAGATTGCCAACGATGTTCTCCTGGTCTTGCCTCTTCCCACACGACTTTGTCATTAGCTAATGAATTGACAACAAAATCAGCAGAAATTTCAATGTAGATTTGAACAGAAATCTCTTGTTCAGATGATAGTGATCGAACCGAATGAATTAGATAGCCCAAAGGTAATGATGATAATTCAAGAGAATGAATAAATGCTGGCTGAATAAATGTCAAATTTAATTCAACTTCTTCACTTCGAAATACGTATAACGTTTGTGTTGGTTGTACACGTATTTGAATTTGTTTCATGGGTTCAATACTTTCATCAGTAACACCCATAAATCTCAATATTTTACTTCCATTATTGATGCGAATCAAACCAACAAGTGACATATTTTGACTTTCGATCCAATTTGAAGTAGGCACATCATTCAATCGATCTCCTTTCGACCAAACTTGAATAGTCGGATTGAGTAAAAGAAGTGGAGTAGCTGGAGGACGAAAATCCTCCACAAGATCAGTCTTTGCCAGTCGAATCACTGCCAGAAGACAAATCACATGTATTCGTAGAAGTCTATGCTGCATTTTATTGTCGTTGTGTCTTCAAGTTTAGATGACTATTCGTTAGACAAGATACATCGAATGAGAGTAAAAACGAATATTTTAAAAATAAGGGCAGCACGTTGACAGAAAAGAAAAAAGGCGACTTATAGAGAAAAATAGATATTGACACCACCTTATGAGTTATCTCTTCTTGGCAACTGCACGTTCAATCGTTTTCATCATAGTTACGGTCACTGACACAAAGCAGTTGTTAATCACGGTGATTGTCATAAAAAAAGTCCCATCTATTGCACTAGTACAATGTTCTTTATCAAAGAGTGATGCGTGCCTACTTAAAACTAATCGATGTGTACGGAGAAAAAATACTCACAGAAAAATATCAAGAAGTACATTTTGAATTAATTTAAACTTGGAGATGTCGTAAGACGCTAGTTAGCTTTAGAAAGTTTTCTTAAACTTAATCGAAACGGTTTTAGCCTCGGTAAGTTTGCACGGAACCTCAAGCGTTCGTCTTCTGGTAAAATATTCAGTTACAAACCTAATCTTTCTCGAGTGTGGTCTCCGTTCACATACACTTCAGCGATAGCTATTTCAGTCATTGTATCTATTTCTTCGATTGGATTAATTAGAGCTTGAACATTTGAATAAAACCAAAGCCGCTAATCAATCTTCCATAAACTAGTCGGGTCATGGGCCAGGAGTCTATTTTTTTAAACACTTTGCTAAGAATATGAGTGAATTTCAGGATTTCTGAATTGTCGCTTCCTTTTACTTAGAAAACATAAACTGACGAAATTTATTTCAAATATTTTAGGGTAGTTAAAATATGCGTATATCGGATGAGTTTGATAGAGACCAAAATGATAATAGTGGAATAATAGAATGAAACAATTTATATTAAGCAATGATGCAGAACAAATCACGAAAATAGAGACAAGAAAAAAGTATGTCAAATCAAGCAACATTCTCAAGAAAATGATCTTGATTCTGGTCATATTCGTTATTGCGCTTGGAAAAGCACCATTGGTTCAATGATTAGGAAAACGATTTGACAACGACTAGAAAATATGAACTTCGTGATTGAGTATCTGTTGAGTTGTGATCAAGGGGGAAAAAGCTGATTTAAATCACAGTAAAACTCAACTTACAATCAATATAAATTAACTGTACTGGAATGAGTTTGCGTGAGTTTCGGTGCCTTTGAATGATTTTCAGTAATAATCTATGATTTGAAATAGTTTTTAGTTAGTTTAGCAAATTTTTCGTTTTCTCAAACTCATTTTAAATCAGCTAAACTCAGAAAAATCATGAAACTCATAAATCGCTTTTCCCCCTTGGTTGTGATTGATGCTATCGTAGAAGATTAGCTAGAAAATAGATTGGAAAACAATAAATTCTCTATTCATATGTGACATATACGTTGCAAATTACTATGGGTTCGTCTTATTTGACTGAAGCAATGGAAATATTTAGTGATAAGAATTTGTTCCGCGATATTTACGAGTCATATTTAAGCGTTTTTGTATATTTCCACCAACATTCAACCCGAAATATATAGATAAAAAGACAAGCGTTTATCAGCAAACATATTTTTCAAAACGTTATTCTTATAACTGTGAGAACAATCTATACGTAAATATATCTGTTTCTAAATTCAATTCAACCTATTGAATTTGCACTTGTATTTTTTCCGTAGTCTACTAAAGCATCTCCATGCTCTACAATTGATAGCGAGTTCTCACAAATAGCAAAGATATGACAACTTGCCAATGAAGCACTTTCACGGCTAAAATGTGAAACTTCTATTTCTTCTTTAGTCTCATTAGACTAACATAAAATAAGTCGAATGATGTCTCTTACGAATTTTTCTTTTTATTGTTTTAGTTTTCTTAATTTAAAATACTATTATTCTTAGCACTTAATTAACCGATAAATATAGACTGTTATATGTATTCATTCATTTATTTCGTATATACGCAAAATGATTCGTTTGTCTATGTACCAATCATCGATTTTGGCAGTTTCAATGAAAGTAGAATAATAAATTATTGCATAGATTTTCGAAATAAGAAGAATTTCAATGTTGAACATCTACTTACAAAAACATCCAATAGATACTCGAAAGCACGAGTAATTAAACATAAAAGTGTAAATAGTACTGCGATGATCATAATATAAGCCCATACTCGTGCTGCACCATTCTGTGTCCCCTATGAATTATATATAAATGAGCTCTATTACGCGTGAAATATTTTCTAAATATTTTGAAACAAACAAGACTTTTTATAACAATGATCATGAGCACGAATACGACAGACCAATATGGAATTACGATTAATGGGTGAAAACGTGACCATACCGAGTACCATTCACGATTTTGCACATCAGACTTAGAGGACGGCGACGATGGAATATCTTTAATAGGCATTCTGACGAATATAATAGATTTTTAACAACGAAAGTAGCATACAAATGGGTCCTATAACAGATTTATGAATGAAATTAAAATTCACAGACAGCATCGCTTACAGACTTGCTTGTGTCGAAAATAAGGTCACTGTCTATGCGTCTTTTCTATTGGTTCAATGCTGTAAAAACAAACAGGCACTCTCTGGTTAAACACTGACCTCATGGCTGATAATAATTGTCTGTTCATTTTATATTTTCCATATTTTATTTGGCCTCTCTTCTTCGTTTTTTTCTCGATTATAAACTCGTGTTCTGTATGAAATTGATACGACTGGTGTAAGTTATCGCTGCAAAAAATATCTATCTCCGGGCTGGCGATAATGCTACTCCTCCAGTTTGTCAATGAATATCTTAAATAAAATAAAAACTAGAATAGCAACGAAATACAACATTTTCTCATCTTTCATTTACGTTACACGTACGACACTTATTTCAGTTGTTTCCTAATTGATTTGGGCTATTGAAATCAATTTCTGCCTCCCCGGTACTATCGCGAAGAAGTCTAGATCTAGAAGCTGCATAGAAACAGTCCCACGTCAGAGATGACTTCATCTCCGTCAGTTTGCAATGCATATCATGTATGTGTTGACTATATTCGTATTTGAATTTGTTTCATGGGATGGGTTCAATACTTTCATCAGTAACACCCATAAATCTCAATATTTTACTTCCATTATTGATACGAATCAAACCAACAAGTGACATATTTTGACTTTCGATCTGACTTCAGATTGCACTTTTTTAAAAAGATAGGAATCCTTAGAGGATTAAGGTTGTCAAAAATATAGGATTTTCGATAAAAAATGACAAAAAAAGAGGACTTTTTATACACCGCTTTTGTTCAATTGTTTTGGTGTTTTTAACTGCTCTGCTCGAAAATCGTTTTAATGAAGCTGTTATAAACAGCGTAACCGTAGCAAAAAATTCTTATGTAACTTTTTCTACTGAAATAAGTCACTAATTCGAGGATCATTATAAAAGTTTTTTACAAATCGATAAAAAAACAATACAGTGGATCATAAGCTTTAAAAAAGACAAATACTATTTCTCTTAATTAAAGGAGACGTTTCCGATTACGGACATGACTTCCCAAAAAATCTCAACCTAATTTTATTGTCCTGATAATCAGCATTCATCGCTCATTATTTTCCACAAGTTCATTTTGTATTTTATCATAACTCAATTTTTTCTGGTAATAAATAAGTGTAAACGAAAATGCGTATACACAGGATGGCGTAAAATTTCACGGGCTTTCAGAATATGTCGTTACTTTTTTAAAAGATGTTCTTTTGGTAACAATATCCTCAAAATACAGAATGAAACTTATTTTTTTCAGGGGTATATATATATGTATACAGCTTTTATATCTAACTAAAACTTCACTAAAAACCCGAAACTAGTATATGATCACTTTGTGAATGTTTTTTTCTTTTGAACTATTTTATATTTTGTACTTAGTATTAAACAATTTCTCAGTCAGTTCACTAAGTAGGCGAAAGAAAAAATATTGTTTAAAACAAATGTCACTATAATACAACAATTTGTTCAAAACGCATGATTATACACATTAAAAGTTTGTTTTTTTTTCGTCTAAAGACAATAGGAAAATTAAGAGGTTTTCGGAAGCGTTCTACTTTTTTTCGATAAAATATAGGACAATAATAGGACTTTTTTGAAAATATAGCTCACATCGCAGTCTAGCTTTCAATCCAATGTGAAGTAGCCACATTATTCAACCGATCTCTCTTCTACCAAACTTGAATAGTTGCATTGAGTAAAAGCAGTGGAGTAACTGGAGAACGAAAATCCTTTACAATATTGGTCTTACTTTGCCAGAATGAAATATTTTATGGGCAAGAAACAATCCTATCAATGTCTACTTAATGAATAGTCAAAACGTCATCAGCAAAAACAAATAGTTGCTCTACATAGTATAATGTAAATAGTCTATGAAGATTATTATCTTTATAAATTGTTCATCGAGCTTTCGAATTATATCTGGTTGGCATATAAAGGAGATAGTGATAGTCTATTTAGGTTCTCCACCGCAAAAATTCAAGAAAAATATATACAAACAAGAATCACCGTCACAGAGCATGTACATAAATACAAAGTATGTTTAAAAGAAAAATAACAGATAAAATGTCAGCAGAGGTAGAACTATTGTTAACTTTGTTTTAACTATGTTCTTCCTTATTTTTCTTGATTTTCAGCATCTATTTTATTTGCCACTGTATTGACTTCATTCCAAAACTTAAGTAAACGACCTTTATCATTAGCACAAAATTTACGGAAATCGTCCAACATATTATCTTGATATTTTTCTTCACCGGTTTGGCAGCTTCTCCATTTTTTTCCCAAGCAAAAATTCCAACACCAATAAAAACCGTAATCAAGTGGCGAAGACTGACCATCAATATTTCCATTTACTGCAACACGTATCGGTCGACGGATGTGATGTACGTTATATACATCAGATATGATATAGACGAGCATGCCAGCACTTATATGAACATAATATATATTTTCATTTATATAACTTATACAGCTATTTAAAACAAAGCCATAGCTGAAATTTCAACAAATAGATCACACATATATTTCTCAATTGAAAGAATAAAGCTTTGACGAACCGTTTTAAAATAAGTTCTTGAAAAATGTTTAATCGACAATTTTGATGTTGAGCTGAAAGATGAGTCATTTGATCCTGTAGACATGTGGTATCCATTTTAATGTAGATAGGACCTTAAGTAATCAAAAAGCTCATTAAATACACAACTAATGGGTGAAATTAATAAAAGAAAAATCATCAATGGGAACTTTAAAAATATTGATAGATAATAATATTATTATCAAATAATGAATTAGTTTCCAATTGGAAAAAATACAAAGTTCTGTAGCAAAAATATTTAGAAAATAGAGCTCAATTGAACCAAAATACAAGATTTTTGTCCTCATACCTCTTAAAGGATCAGATTCAGCAAATGGATCACATGGAATGGGAACCAAATGAAACACTACTTGATTTGAACCAAGCATTGTTCCTGTACGTTGCGACCAATTTGTTATTAAATCTCCTAGTATACAGGAAGTTGCCACAAGCCAACGAATTTCAAGTTCAAATAAACAATGCGGATTATAATATGAATGATATTGAGCTTTCGCCCATTCTCGTCTATCAGATACATGCTTTTGATCGGCATCAACATTGCAAGTACGCTTTAATATTTTCGATGTTATTTTTTCATCTTCTGGCGTAGTATCTACTGAATTAGTATCTAAATTAACAGGATTTGTATTTTTGGCTGATCGATGTGCTTCTAATCGAGGAGCTCGTGGTATTGATTCTTGATTAACAATAAGTTTCGGCAATAAACGCATTGGTTTACATTGAGCAAAAGCTAAATAATCCATCGATGGAATAAAATGTTGAGTTTGGTGAAATTCAACTTCAGCATAATCATCGGAATCAAGACGAACTAAAATTTTCAAAAGAACAAATGAATAAAATTTGACTCGGAAAAATATATCATTTTACAATTTTGTGTTTTTTCTGTAACAATATAATACAGGAAGAAACCGAAACGAAATAAAGTTTCTGAATGTGTACAATGCTGAATAAGTCCACGTTTAAACAATGTCTACAAAGAAAAGTAAAATAGATGTTTTAAAACCTCGCCTTCTTGCTTTTATTTTACTTCAAATAATGATAAAGCTGCTTGTTCATTTTGTATGTCTTCGCCATGTTCAATAGCCCACCAAATGGCTTCAATTGCAACAAATGAATATTCGGGCAATATCGCATCTTTTACAAATAATAGTCCTTGATGTTCATCACGAAGTAACACTAATAGATGTTGCAATGCACCCGGATCATCGGAAACAAGGTCCTCATGTTTAAAAGTTTTGAACGGTACCCTTAAAATCAATGACAAAACAACAAAATTATAGGATAATTAAATTAATCAAAAATTCATACGCATTTTTTGCTTGTCGTTTATGACAATCAATTCTCTTTAAGCCAGTTATTGGATCAATAGGCTAAAAATGTGACTCGATTACGAATCATATATATATCTATGAGAAAACTAGTAAGATCTTACTCGATGTATAAAATCAGAAGCACTAGAACGGATACGTGCAATTTTATTAAGCATAACTAGAAATCGAACGAAATGTTCAACATAAAGAAAATAATCTTCATGCGACATTTCTTCACGACTATCACATTTCCGTTGGCCTGATTCAATACTTTTTATTGTGTAATCCTTTGAGACAGGCATGAGAACCAGACGTATTCGCCAATATTTCATTATCTAAATCAATAAATATAGTTATATTCAGTTTCAGTTAACTATACTACTCAAGATATTACTGATGATCAGAATTTTTAAAAGTGTTTTAAAAAAACCTCTAGGATCTTCTCGATTTTTTATTTGTTTTTCTCAGTCGAGTGAAACAGTTAGAACCATAATATCTAGAATGTGTTAGTATCACTAACGACAACTTGGCAGTAGTCTTCAATGCAAAAGGTTTGAACGCGGACCACGAGAGATTAAGACGTGAAACATGATTCAGTCGTTGTTACCAATCAAAAAGTGTGTTTTTCTCTATCGATCTTATGATATATTTACTCATCTTCGTTTTTACTTAATCCTTTAGAACTTTAATTAGGTAGTAGGTAACATGTCAATCAAACGCGGTCGTTTAGATGTGTCGTATCTGTGACGTGTTAATGTTAAGATTGTCCGTCTCATCTGTAGCCAATCGCTCTTAGTCTATTTTTTCTCTATTTCTATGTTGGACTACCTAAAAATTTTTCCACAGCGATTCGTATTATTCCAGGTCGGGCTTTTGCAATAATGAAAATTTTACTATTTTCCCTTGTGTTGGATTATTCAAATGGAGCCTTGTTGAGAAAATCTTTTTCTTCTTATAAGACCACGTATGATTCACATAATACATACATCAGTAAGTTTATCATCGCGTGATCCGTGACTGCATACAGCATTATCAACAACATTCCAAGGAAATGCTTCTAAACTTTCAAGTTTTAATTCATACGCAGCCGGATCATAACTAGATGAATCTGGACATTGAAAACGATATTTATATTGAACCGTTTTAGGTTGAAAAGCATGCCTGAACGAGAGAGAAACAACACATTTTTTAGTAAGAAGCACTATTGATTTTGTTTGAATATGAAAAACTTACTGAGGTTTAAATTGTTGAACACATATAACAACCGTATCTTGTGTTTGACTATCTTCAGTTACAAGACTTAATGTATGATAGATTCGACCAATACTTAACAAACGATTATATTCAGTTTCTTTATAACCAATACGTCTAATTCTTTCAATCATTAATTTTTGAATATGCGGTGGAATTTCAATAATCATTTGAAAGCCCTAAAATTTTTATAACAACGCTCCTTTTCTTTAAATCGTATTTCTTATAAATTACTTGTGATAAACGTTGATCAATTAATGCATCAAATATTAATCTTTGACGTTCCATAGCATCAACACTATAAGACAAAACAATATATATATATATATATATATATGTAAATAAAAAGACTAAAAATCATTTAATTACGAAGTTAATTTTTCATGATTTCCACTTCCTGTATGCATATGCTTTCTTTTTCGTTCATACTCCGATAATGGTGGTAATGCATGAATAAGTTCATATGAATTTTGCGTATAATCACGTCTTAAATCATCTTCTGTTGGTTCAACATCAAAAGTTGTTGGAAGTGAAGCTGGTATTGTTAGCGATTTCCAATCGATACCAGTTATCATTGATGCACTCCATGGTTCAACACCGGTTGGTCCCCAAATAATAGCTTCCTTTTTTTCTTCTATAAAAAGAATTAAATTACATTTTTATTGAAGTCATTGATTGAAAAGCAAAACAGCAGACTTTTGATTCCTGGTGGTTTGCTCGTAGAATCAGAAGTTGGCTTTTTTACACTTGCACCATTAGCGGGAGTTCGATTATTTTCCGGAGAGCTATCTTTACGTTCGGCAAAGCCAACTTTTTTTTCTACACTCGATGGACTCCCAAGACTAGAAACAAAAAATAGATATTGAATTGATTATTATGATGAAAATGAAAAAACATTCGTTCGTTTAGTAATTACCGTTTCGAACGAGAACTTAAATCACTATTGGTTTTCGAATGCTGATATATACGTTTAGATATAGAATTATTTGAAAGTCCTTTCGATGTACTCGGAAGTACAAGATCTGCACAGGTGTTAATATTAACATTCATTGAACATTTTATTGCACCTTCCATTTTGCGTAAATGATGAAAATGCCAAGGAATTTTATTTGGACCTTTGGAAAGAAAAACAAAAGAGAAGAATTTTTAGTCCAAATATGAATTTAAAAAATAAAAACAAAATTTTTATTTTACCTATAGGAAATGTATGTGCCCACCGACGTCGTCCCGGTACCATAGGTATGCGTATACTTGCTGGTGCAAATGGATTCGTTAATGCTTTCGGCCTTGTATTCAGACGAACGAATGACAATGTTGATAAAAAATACGTTTCAGCACTTTGAGCAGTACGTACAACACTTTGCGGATGATAAAACAAAACTTGTGATGATTGCTGATATGTATTATGATATGGAATAGTTCCAGCTATACTAGCTGAAATGCCATGTGACGTTGATAGAGCAATATCATCTTTGACGTTAGCATTAAATTGACGTGGATCGTCATTCATTCCTGTTATCGATGCTTTACTACTAACAATTAACATCCCATTTGGTTCATGTAATGTATCTTCTTCTTCTTCAATTGATGCCGGATCTGAAAGATTTCATTTCATTGTTATTGCTTTTCTATTTTATATTAGAAATAGTGATGTTTAATTTACGTGTAGGACTCATAGTTATATTTCGTTTTCTTGGTTTTCGACCTTCATGACTTTTGCTTGTTCTAGTTGCAGATTTGCTTTCACCTGAACTGTTTAGTCAAAAAACAAAAAAGATGAATCAGATGGAAGTTTTGGATGGCAATTTATTTTTTATCATTGATTACCCTTTTGTTGATGCTCGAAATACTTGAATATCATATTCTTCCATGGATAGATGGGGTGGTTTTGTAAATGTGTTGTCGGCGATTGAACTCATCACATTTTTAACATCTATCAAAATTGAAAAATAATAAACATCTACACTTGAGAAATGTCAAGAATCTACGATATTACCTAACAGGTTTTCAGTATGAACTCGACTTGTATCAAATGGTAAACGCGGTATATAACGTTTAAAGCATGAGGGTGCTGTTGAATTATGATAGTAACTAGAATAATTTCAATCAACACAGATTCGTTTTCTTTTTTATTGTATAAAAACTATGGTCAAACCTTAAATTCATCCAATGTGGTATTTGATAATCATCAGCCGTATTAGGATTTTCTTTAAAAAATTTAAATAATGGTACAGCAAATAATGGCTGTTCACCTAAACAGACAAGATCACTGCCGATGCCATTATCTAGTACACGTTGCTTAGTCATATTTGTTAATTCACGATCAACTTCAAATACACCAGCACCGGGTGTTATCACTAATGACATTTGACCTAGACGATCGAATGCACGATCGATAAAATGACGTTCAAATACTGAAAATAAAATTTTCGTTTTTCTTTTGCTGTTTTTGTTTCTCTACAAACCGCTCGATGAAAGATTTAATGTTTCAAGAAAATTTCCATCACATGCAGGCGATATTGTCCCTTTGGGCATTTTTTCTGCTTCAGCTTTTGATAAATGTTGTCGATGATAATTGACAAGATCTTCTTTATAACTAATAATGACTTGTTTGATTTTAGCCAAACGTGGCAACCAATCATCATAACGTTCATTTTGATAAATAACACTAAAATCATCAAGATTAAAATAACTTATTCAGATAATTGATAAGTTGATCTATATTTCATCACATGTCAAACTATAGTACACAGAACACAAAAAGGAACGCCGATCCTGCTCGCGAAAAGAAGCTTGTAATAAAGCAAAATCATAATTAGTAGAAACAACTACAGCTATTTTGGTGCAGAGAGACAAGTGGCAATTTCTTTGTGTAGGAAAATAAATTATTTTAAGCTAAATATGATTCCCTAAAATCAAGCATTGACATAAAACTATAGGTTTGACTCGGCCCGGATGATGAGTAACATGTACTGTGTAGGCGAATTCTAGAAATGGGGCACGCTCTCTAATGAACCTGTAGTAGTTACAGTCTTTTCTCAAATAACCTTAAATTCAATTTACAGGGAAAGTTTTTCGAATAGTTCAAGCATAAAAATAGCTTATGCTAAATGGACGAAATTTGATTTTACAATAAGCAAAAATTAATTACCGATAGAAATCTTCATAAAATCTGCCTCGATGATCTGTATTAATATATTGCTGTAAACATTGAGGAAAAGCATCCAACGATTTGGCATCATAAAAAACTCGACTAAACAAGGTCATGGTAACATCATGTTGACAAAGCATTGCCTTAAACAATGTAAAAAGAAAACATTTAATTCCATTGTCTTTTTCTAAACATTAAGTTTTTCTACCTTCCATCGTGTGAACAAATCATGGAGGAAACCATCAACAGCTTTTTCATAATATGTATCACCGCGATGATCGAAATCCCACATTTCTTTTGACATTTGCAAAAATATTGAACAACAAGCACTTAGTGAACGAAATACAATCTAAGAAAAAGGACTGAATCAATAATTTAGAAAAACTACATCTTCACTTACTTTGGTATCTTTTGTTATATAACCAGATGATACACGATAGGGTGAATCAGGTACCCATAAACCATAAACAGTAGCTCTAATTAAACGGTTTTTCTTTCGTAATAAAAGCATCATTTCAATTAAAGAAAACTCTTACCTCATGCCGTAAATATCCAGTGTTTTTCTTAAATAAACTGACGTATTGACTAGTTTACGGGTAAAACGCCACATATCACCTCGACTAAAATATTGTTCTTTAACTTGCATTTCAACCAAATATAAAGCAAAATGCTAAAAGAAAAACAAAATAAAAGTCTTGAAATATTTGCTTATCTTACTTCTTTGTTATTAACTTGCTGCACATTATAATAATTGGTTAGAAAATTAATACTCGGAAATGTTTTTTTAATCGCTTCATCAATACATATTTCTATATAGGAAATAATTTTAAAATTTTAAAATAAATAAAATTTATTATACCTGGATGCATAGCTTGAATTTGTCGTTCATCGTCAACTTCCAGGAGAAGTTTCTCGGTGCCATTCTCATTCAAGTTGATTACAAATAGATCACCTTTGGCTAGACCTGTTCTTGAACTGGCTGTTGTCGGTCCACTAGGATCTAAATGGATATGTGTTTTTCCATAAAGTTAAATATTTGTAAATTAATGAAAATAGATCTACTAACTTTGTCCACGAGAGAAAACTACTCGTGATCGGAATCTATGTTGATGATTAAAACATTTTAGTAATTAGCATCAATATTTCTCAAGTACATACAAATCTCGCCTAAATGTAGGTTCTGTTTTTGGTTCTGTTTTTGGTACTGGGGCTGCTGTCTTTTCATTGACTTTGTCTCCATTTGTAGTACGCTTATTTTCATTTAATGTAGAAGTTATTGTCATTTTCGACGATTATAAAAAAATACTAAGTTCATGACAAGATTTAAAAAACAGAAATGTGTCGCGTGCTATATCATTGTTTTAATGTGATGCGTCCTTTTATATAGATGTTAGCACAATCTGACCAATGATATGCGAGCATTTTCGCTGCTCGATTACTGATGACCTCTTGAGACAGTGAATAGATTGATTTCACAGCAAGGTTTTTCTTTTCTTTTCTCTTGTACGATCTATATTTTTCTCTTGGTTTTTCTTCGTTATTTTAATTTTAAATAAGCCATGGGTCATTCCATAAATGAATCTTACGACTATCTTTTTAAGTTATTATGTATTGGTGATTCAAATGTTGGGAAAACAACATTTCTTCATAAATATATCTATGAAACATTTTCAAATATACGTTCAACTCTCGGTATTAATATTTTTGAAAAATATATCACCGTAAAAGACAATCAACGAGTTCTTTTACAATTATGGGATACAGTTGGGCAGGTTCGCGTTTATTCTTTCAGTTATTGTTTAGTTGTAGTCTTTCTTTCCTCTAGGAACGTTATCATAGTTTAACAACATCATTGTATCGTGATAGTATGGGATTTTTACTAATATTTGACTTAACAAATGAATCATCGTTTCTATCAATTCGCAATTGGATTTCATGCATTGATAGTTTTGCTTTAATTGATGGTGATCTTCGTCCACCAATATTACTTATTGGTAATAAAGTCGATTTGTCTACACATAGAAAAATTGATTCAATTCGTGCACAACAATTTGCTGATGAATTCCATATCGCTTACATTGAAATATGTGCTTTAACTGGTATTAACATACAATATGCACTAGATACACTTACGGATAAAATATTTAATTTTATGGATGAATCAATGAAGAAATATTATCAAAAACAGCCTTTACAATTATCAACAAATGAAAATTATCATCATAGAAAAATATCCATAAAATTAATGAAGAACATATCCAACGTTAAAAAAAGATTTCATGCTCTTACAAAAAGATTATAGTTAAAAACAAAAGGCTCTTTTTTCCTGCAGGTAATTTATTATAACAAAACTCAAATACTGTAAAACAAATCTTTCAACAAAATAAAAAAAATAAAACAAGTAAACATTATTTTGTAATATTAAGCAGTTTGTGTTTTAATTGTTCAAGTGTCATTAATTTTGATTCTAATGCCATTCGCATAGCCTAACATGAATAAGAGAAAAAAAAGATTTTACTACGAAATCGATTTCATACTTACATAACCGGATGCTGATGTATCAGAAGCTAATGTTGATAATTCTGTTTTATTATATTTTCCTGCTTTAAATTCAAATTTAGAGAATGGATCACTGCCATGCCAACAATGAAGATGCAAACGATAGTTCTTACTAATATCTGTTTTATCTTTCGATGTTACACCTTGATCTAACAATTGATTAGCAAGGCTAATATCAAAATTTTCACTAGCAATAAGATGGTTAATAGCTAAATGACCACTGTATAACAGAAGAACACCATAGTGCCATTCAGGCCAAAGCTAAACATAATTTTAAGAAAATAAATAGTTCGACTAAATAAAATAACTAACCATCACACCGAGTTGTTGTTCTCTTTCGGGTTTAGTAAATTCGTTCATATTGAGATATAACATAGCTTGTATTGTATAATTAGCCAAACGATAAGCCATCAATGGTGAGCCATACCTATGAAATTCAAATAGTAAATTATTTAATAGAATTTTCTTTTCAATTTTTTAGAGAGATCACGATTTATTTTCAACTGACTAGTAGATATTCAAACTGCTCAATATACTTATAACAGTTATCTGTTTGAACAACTTTCTCCACAAATAAACTATTATAATAGTTAGTGATGATATATATTGGTAAAAAGTGCTCCTAAAGTCGTGTCTCTCTAGTAAATGCACCTACAGGATTGTCTTTATAGAAAAAATAGAATTCCTAGAAAATTGTGAGCTAGATCATCGTGCTCCGGTTCACTTAGCGAGAGATTATTAGTTTATACAGGTTGATTATACTGAATAGGAAATTAATTCTTAGAAGTTTTCCGAAAATAATAGACTGAATATTCTATGTTTAACTGGATCTTTTATTATTGTTATTATTATTATAATGAATTGATATAACCAGTATTATGTATAAATTTTCTTCTCTATTGAAAAGAAAGAATGTTATTTGTATGGGGAAAATCTTTGTACCTGAAAAGCAGATTTTTTTAATTTAATTTTTTCTAAGATACGCTCTGAAATGCGTGTTGAATTTCTGCAGTAAAAAATTGAACCCTTACAGATACACAATCACATATCATAAATCAAAGCAAAAGTGCCTCGTTCTAACACATGAACTATTTCTTCGTTACTTTTCTGCACAATTGCGTAAAAGGATGTATCTCAAAATCGATACAATTTGCCTCATGATTAGAAGCAGCGTTTTTTATGTTGTCGTACATTTCAATCCTACGGAGATTGTACGAACAGCTATTATGAATATATATATATATATATTCAATTTTTGTTTAGATTACTTTTGTAAACTAAATAATCAAATTCTGATTATTATTATTCGTATACAAATACATTCTAATCGATATTGGATTAAGTTTCTTGGTATGCAATCAATTGTACCTCTTAATCAGGCCTCCTAATGGGATAGGATGGAATGAGTTCCTAATCCCATGGGAAATGTGATTATTTTTTTAAAGAAAAAATGATTATTCATTTATGTCACACTTGACAATAGGTGAAAAATGTGAATATTATCATTCTTTTTCTGTACTGGTCATTAGCCCAACTCCGAGCTCTATTCGAGCAATTGAATAAAGAATACGATAAAACATAGAAAACAGAAATAAACATACATTTTTTTTTCTGGTTCAATGTTTCAATGAAATATCATCATCTTTTGTTTTATGAATTGTTCAATATCACCTTCTATAATTATTTCTTCCTCATTATCATCCTTAGTTTTGGATAAACAGGAATATTCAGTTGAGAAAATCAAATTTCGTTTACAACATCACAAACAGAATTAAAAGGTATTGATAATGATATTCCAACCAGGAATGCACCAATTCCTAGTACATTGCAAGAAAGATGACATTTTTGCCTGATGTAGAGTGGAGCGGTCCTCTGATTCCATATANTTCATAAATCTCAGCTATCGTTTTACATAGAGCAAAAAAATGGTCTTGGCTGATATATGGAATCAGAGGACCGCTCCACTCTACATCAGGCAAAAATGTCATCTTTCTTGCAATGTACTAGGAATTGGTGCATCCCTAATTCCAATATTCAAATCGGAATGATGGAAAACTTCGACTTTCCAGTTAGAAAAAAGAAACCTTGATTTTCAGTAAAATTCTTCGAAATATAGCGAATCCCATGGGACGAAAATTTCTTCCCATCCCATTAGGAGCCCTGGTCTTAATGATTCTCAATGTAAAAAAAAAGAATTTTCATATAAATGTCATTCAGTGTCAATGCTAATTGTTTCCTCGTTTCATGAAACCAGCTTTATGCAATCACAATAATAGACACTCAACTAATCGTAGAATGAATGAGTAGTGATTTCGGGATGAAAATGAAATAGATGCTGAAGTCACACCAGGCGATTTGCTTTTGAGATTAATAACTTTCTCACTAAATGAAAGAGACTAATAGCGATCGAAATCTCGTTTGTTCATTTCAATTAATACATAATGATCAATGATTTTGTTGAATCGTAGATTTAATTCTTACCAAGTTGATCCAAGACCATTTTTATCAGCATATTTCCAATTCATATCGTGAGCAATACGTTTCAATCGTTTATTATTAAAATCTGTAGAATAACCGCCATGGCCAACAAGTAATGTATTATTATATGGAATATAAAGAGCAAAATTAGCTGTTAAAAAACAATCGAGATCTGTACGAAGTATAAAATCATACATAGAAAATGATAAATAATACTCAGAAACTGTATTTATTGAATCAATGTATCCGTAATTTCTTAATTGTTCATAAAGTAATTTTGAATTATTGCTGTCAATAATTTGATATTTACTTGAAGGACTATGATTTTTTTCCCGATCTTTAATGCGTCTATAAGAAAAAATTCGACATTTAGGTTTTTCTTCTATATTCGTACGTATTTCATCGTGTAAACAGCCAAGTTCTTTAAACATTGGTGCATAGTCATTAGCGAAAACAATTAAATCTGTTCTCCATAATGGTGATTCTGACGTCATCATTTCAATCCATGAACGATAGAACCATCGAAGTTCGGGTTCAAATGTTTTTTCTTGATCTGTAGGATAAAAAACGAGAAGACCTCGTATTACAATCGATCCCGATGGAGGCTGATAAATAAATGGTAAGTTTTGCTTGTTAAATTGATCTGGTCGATTATTTATCATTCGATTAGAACCATTATATTGCAAAGTTCTTAAATCAAAAACTGTAGATGATTGTCGGAAGCTGTTCATTACACTTTGAATACACATTATAATCATCGATAACAATAATATTATAATCATACATAGAAAGAAAATGCGACCAGTGAATCTTGATGAAAGGCTGATGTCTGGTGTAATCTTCATCGCTGCGGTATATTTTTAATTAACAGTAAAATCAAACAGAAACGCCAGGAAAATGATTCACTTATGTGCTTTAAACGATTAAGGCCACGTGCGCGTAATCTAATATTAGGATATATGAAAAAAAAGAAAATATTGAGAAGAATCGTAACGCGCATGCATACAAAAAAAGAATAAAACAATTACATTGATGACGGATTGGCGTAAGTTTTAAACAGTTTAAATCTGATATAAAGTTGCTGTTTATCTCAAGTATCAAAGGCCATAAACTAGATCGTATACCGAAGATAAATATTTAACTTGCTGTTTTATCATGCGTCATCTTAGTAGATCTCAAGTCAGCCGTGTTCTTGTAAAAAATATATCGATCCTCTCATAATATACTATAATTTTCCTATTTTGTCTATCTTATTTTCATAATCATTATATTCCGCTCGTGTAAGCGATTCTGAAACAGTATATTTTTTTGTAATAGAGAAACGACGGACGAATATAATGCAGATCAAAAGAGAGCTTGCATGAGAGTCATCAATAGTTTTTCTTCTCTTATCAGAGAAGCTTATGATTAATAGTCAATGAATAATTCAACTTAGACTAATAAGACTGAATCAACGTTTTCTAATGTTTACCGGTAAAAAGTTAACTGTTGAAAAATGATCAGGCCAATAAAATGACTTTTTTCATCGTCGGTGTCATAAAAAAAAAGGAAGAATACAGCTACGGTTTTATTTCACATAGTCAAAGAATAAAATCCTACGTCGCTATTGGTATAAATGCAAGTTTATTATGCAAATATTGATAATGAAAAGGGACAAATATTTTCAAGCAATGATTTATGAGAGGAAAACCCACATGCCCAAAGGCTGCTAACAGATTAATTGGAATTAATCCTGCTTGCAAATAGTGCTCGTCATAAAAGCTGAGAACTATTTTCTTATCTTCTTCGAATCAAATAAAGTGTTTTTTTGAAGTAAATCTAACTCTAACATTGTTTTTATCGTATTTGTCATGCAACGAGAATAGAGGGAAAAGATTTGTCTTCAAAATTTTATGTTCCAGTAAATATCTGTGACATTTATTGATCAAATCCGAGTATCGTTCGGATATTTTCCTCGCTACAAAAAAGTAAAATAAATGTGTGGATCAATGTGCATTACGGATGAAAGAAGACCTGCGAATATTGCGTTTCACTATCATAAACGCGCTCATGCGAAGTACAGAGACATACCATCGTTTACCTTTTGAATTCATACATTTTTCATACTTTCTGGAGTTCATGGTGAAAGATACAATCAGTTATTATATTTCATTGAGAAAAATGCGTGACGAAGGTAAAAAGACTAAATGAGTTAAAATTAACAAATATCAATATTGCAACTGATCAAAATTGTCTATGTGAAATGTTTTTCATATAAACGACAGTTCGTATTAAAAAAGACACGTTTGGCTGTATCCGCTATTGTGGGGTGTAATCTTTTTTCAAGGTATTGTATTTTTCTTGTTTTCGTTCACTTTTGTCAACAAATAACAAATTTTATCAATAATAAAAAAAAACGTTTCGTCCTCTTTAGTGGATTTTTCTTCGATTTTGACATCAGCAGCGTAACTTCGGCAAACAATTATTTGCCAATATGACAGATGAATTTCTAACATAGGAATAAGGGAATTTAGAATATTTAAATATTTACTCGTTGACATTTGATAATTTTTTTTATAGAGTCCATCTGTTAATTCTCAACAAAAAACATATATTTTGTTTCTGTTATTGTAATTAGCACGTACCGCTGCTCAAGGCATACTGCAAATAAACCGTCACTATTTTTATTTTATGTTTTATCCTTTCATAACAATGAAAAAAATCGTGCAAAATTTTAATCCAAACTGTTCAATAATTAGGTTATCTGCCATCGAAGATTGAAAGGAAAATTAGTTCAAGCTTTCTTATAGTATTGAAGCATTGAAAAATTCTGTAGGGTTTCAGTAACCTATGGAAGTTTGCAGTAATGCTCATTCTTTTTTTCCAAAGAATATTACACCGTATCAGCTGTATCTAATATATATTCTTTCGTTAAAACTGAAACATTGAACTGAAGATTTTGCAAAAATCTAAACACTTCATGAAACTTTAGAATTTTAAAATTAAACGAATTATAGTAACCACCTCAACATATTATGATATAGTTCGAAAATTTATCGAAATTAAACCAGTATAAGTGAAGCAGTAAATTCGAATATGAATATACGTACGATCTACTCGTGCCGCACAGTTTAACTAAATATAAATATTCTGTTTTCATTTTCGAGAAAAACATTTTGCTTGTCTTCAGGTGACGAACGACCGTTTCTTCGATTTTAGATGACATATAAAGGTTTTAGTTGGTAGTAAAAAAAATGTTCCAAAAATGCTCAAATACCTCTTCGAAAATTATATAATTACACTAAACCAGCTAGCACGCATATAAAAGTCTACTCGAGTATTTGAGTGAAAAAAACGCACTTCATATTGGCATTTGAGGATTTTTCATATAAGTAAAACTAAACTTGCCGATAGAATCTATTCGTGGAGTGAACTTATTTCTAGTAGAACACTCAAAACTTCTTTTCTACTATGGTTCTATTTCTGAACTCGGTGGAAAAGAGCGAAAAGGAAAATAGAGAAAGAAAGACAAAGAAAACTTCCATATCTGGATATTTTCTTTTCTTTTTTTTCGCTATTTTCCACTAACACCCTATTTCTTAAGTAAGAGAAGCCTTGATAGGCATCGAGTATTTGAATTGTCTCTGTGGAGCGGACAAACAAATAAATAAGAAATAATCGAAGCTTTTCAAATGCTTGAAATCGATCGTTGCCGCGGGAGACGAAACTGCACCAGAGCAAATAAAGATTATGTTTTTTTCCGACTATTGGCCACATGCTTTCTATATGTTTTTGTATGTCTGCTTGTAGTAGAACAACATGACAGTTGTAACGATTTTGAGTCGCTACAGGACTATTTATTTGGAAGTGTAGAAGAAAGCACACGTACGCCAGACTGACTCTCAAGCTTTCTTCTCGCCCCTTTTATATGGTGAGTGGAATGTCCTTAAGCAGTGTCAACTCACAACGTTATCACATCGATACGAAGGTAATACTCTAACATAGATAAGAAGGTAATCACAACATAGATGAGGAGATAATAAATGGCGTCACACATAGGTATGAACATTCTTTTGCATTCATTGAGTACAAAGCTATTTCTTGAGGACAAAAGAGTAGCACAACAGTGAAAGCAAACTCTCGTTTAGTCATACTTCTTTCTTCAATGGAATACTAATGGCATGAATATTGTAGTTCGCTACTGTAGAATTCCCATTAGATGTTTCATCAATTTTTCTCTCGTGTGTATCAATCGGTGAGTCGAAACTTCATGCGAGCCATTCCGCGTAAGCCACGACCGACCCTGTTCAATCGATGGAAACCGATTCGACTTGTTTCAGTATACGTTTGTAGGGGAAAGAGTTTGATGAATTTTTGCGCAGACCGTTTCAAAAAATATCGTTCCCTTCCCGAGATATTCAATTTTTTCTGAGAGCACCCTCCTAAAAAAATGACATTTTATACAACTTTTTCTGATATGAATATCTCTTCAAAAATTCTTTCTTTTAAGTTGAAATATTCGGTGTCAGCCTACCTCTAGTGGATGTATATTTTCCAAAAGAACCGAACTCAAATGCTTCAATCGTGAAAGAGCCGACTGCAACAACAAAATTCATGAAAAATTTCTTACTTTTTGCGATTTTGTGCGTGTACCTATCAGCTTGAATGAATCATAGAAGAGAACTGAAATTTAGGCTACAATGAGATCTTGATAAGTACTTACTCTGATAGAAATTTCAGCTCCGTAGCTAACGTCTAAGACGAAGGTGACTCTTGTCAAAAATGCGATTTTCATCAAAATGACCATTTTTGGGGAGAGCTATCTAGAGAAAAATCAGGTCTGTAGAAGTTCTGTCTTTGTGGTTTCAAACTACACACATAGTACTACAAAGTTCTGCAAAAATTGGGATGGAACCATATATACTGCTCAGCAGAGCCTTATCTGAAATGAGGAACAAAGCGGTATGTTGTAAGCTAAATTATTCTAAAATTGTTCACAAATAAATGACAATTTTACATAATAGAACGGAACTTACTATCTACTAGATATGAGCATACAATCCTCTACTCATTGAGGCATAAAGATCCTTTGAAAGTGAGAAAAAAATATTTCGATAAAAAACCATGGAGGGGAATACATGAATTTCGATAATGAAACTAATGCTGCACTCCCCTCCATGGTTTTTTATCGAAATATCTTTTCTCACTTTCAAAGGATCTTTATGCCTCAATGAGTAGAGGATTGTGTGCTCACCTAAAGTAGATAGTAAGTTTCTTTCTACTATGACATTTTGTTATTTATTCCGGAACAAATCTGAAAGAAGTTTGCTTAAAATATACAGCTCTTTTACTCAATTTCAGATAAGGCTCTGAACGGCAATATAGTTTGTCCCATCCTAATTTTTGCAGAACTTTGTAGTACTATGTATGTAGTTTGAAACCATAATGGCAGAACTTCTACAGACCTAATTTTGCTATAAATATCTCTCCCTGAAAATGTTGATTTTGATCAAAGTTTCTTTTCTGACGATGATCACCTGAGCCATAGAAGCTAGTTGAAGAGCTGAATATTTTATCAGAGTTAGTACTTGATCAGATCTCCCAGTGGACAAAATTTCAGCTTTTTGATAGAAACAGTTCAACCATTATATATGTGGCAGGCGAGTTTGGAATTCAGTTGAGATTGGAATAGTTTTTTTTTCATTCTTTTATTTGGACTTTTGCGTAAATTATAAATTCAGAAATCTATCTA